CGTTCTGATTTGGTGGACTCATACCATATACTTTCGTTCGGGAGTTTGTCTTTAAACTTCGGCTTTAAGCACTTTTCAACCTCTTTTTTTAATATTTGTTATCTTATTTTGCAGAAACCATTCTATCTCAGAGGCCTTAACATTAGAGTGCTGTCCCACAGAAAATGATGGTTCTCATATGTCCCCAGCATTATATCTGTTGAATTGCAATCACCACCCTCCTACCTTTTTTGTGCAAGGCCCTGCCGGAATGCTTCATTTTTTCATTTATTTTTTTAAGTTTCTGTGGCAATATGCCACAAACTGTTTTTTTCAAATATTCATACATCGACTCACTCAAAGTCATGGTATGAATGACTACTTTCACAGGAACATCATATATGCTTCATCTGTTACAGCATTTTGGAGAAGAACAATGTAAGGAAAATAGGCCATCAGAGTCTACATTTTAGATATAAACAAATGTAATTTCGAAAAACAGTGCATAATCGTGCAGCATTAAACAAATAAGTAGTGTCAAGTTATATGATGTTGTTCCGGAAAATTTGAATACACAGGATTATGGTTATAGAACAGTAAGACAAGATTCACTACTATTTAAAACTCACCGTTTATTTGATTATTTAGACTACCACCATTTGGGCCTTAATTTGCGTAGAGCTAGGCAGTGCTTACGTAAAGCATTGGGCAGGCTCCAGAGATACTTTAACACCAGTCGTCTTCAGATGATTTGCATCTGGAACTTGAGACTGAACACTTAGCATACTGAAATACTCATAATACAATATTATCAGGGATATATGCAAAAATATCTGATTCAGAAGAATTAAAATTTAGGGCTGATTAAGAATAGGTGACTAGGGTTGTGAAAACAATCATAGTGAAAGTAGAGTCAAACATAGAGTTCACAGATTTCGGGAGTTGATATTGAGGGTCAGAGGAAGGCCATATTAGATCTCTAATTTTTAGTCTGTCACATACCCCTTCTGACCCGTTGTTGATAAAATATTTGTTCAGCAGAGATGAGAAAGTTTTTGGGGTAGAACTGTTTCTAATTTCAGCTGGAAGATGGTTCCAAATACAACGGTATCTCACAGTGAAAGAATTCCCTTATATTATTATTATTACTGACATATACATCAATTTCAAATTTCATTGGTCATCTGTTTTTAAGTTTTCTTATTTTCTTTTTAGTTTACGTGGTCCCCACCAATAGTATCCATTATTACCGCTATCTCCCTTTTCAACCACATTGTATGACTAACAGGTGAACGGATCAACTCCATTCATAGTAGCGACATAGCCTTAACACAAACCACATATAAAAAATTCCAGCACAACTTTTCTTGGAGCCAGCTAAAGCTAAGAGAGTCGAGTGGCTGAATGAACTGCACAGAAGTTTATTGACGAACCCTTGCCTTACAACCGAGAGGCGAGCACAAACGTATGAGTGTGGTTCACATTAGCTCACAAAACCGATATGGGATATTGAATCATCTGCTACTGATGCAGAAATACCACCAATAGCACATATATATATATGTCGATGGACACCGAAACCCCGACAAAATAAAAAAGTCTTGAATGCAATCAAGCTGACAGAAGCGATGAAAACGGATCTAAACACTTCTGAGGATTTGCTCAGACCGTTAGTGCAAAAGGTTTCGAAGTAAGAAAATGTAATTACTGATTGCAAGAAAAATGGTCAGATGACTAAAGAGATTCGAGCTAAGCGCCTGCGAGAAGGTTTATTGAGGTCAACTCTTCCGCTTACCCGAGCACCATCGCTTCAACTACATGCAACAGCATGGATGATTTTGTCAAAACAGAATCGAAAAGGCAATACAGACCCTCACCACTTTGAAATCAGTGCAGAAATCTGCTGCACTCAATATAGAAAAGACTTGAATTTCCAGCTCCGATTTTATGTTGCTTCATCTATATGGCGCAGTGAGAAATACACTGCGAGTAAGCTTCAGACCTCTGTCGACAGTTGCCTACTCTTCTTACCGAGGGTCGAATGACCGGAAACGATTAGCAACAATAAACTCTGGGCATGAGCCACCCAAGTGTAGAGGATCAAAATAATTTCTCCATTCAATTAAATCTTGGCAGTTTCGTTATAAGTGATCAGTCTGTTTACCTGTGCTGACTGGATCGGATTCCGGATAATTGGGTTTTCAAGGGGCAAGAAAGCGGCTTTGAGTTGCACTGTGGTTGTATATCTCTCACTAATGAGCATATCCTTGAAAACCCTCAAGTAATATATTCCTTCCCCGCTAGGTGAGGCAGTGAGGTGGAAACTCATGTCGATCAGGATGGGTGGTCGTTTGGAAACCAGCTCGAAACCTTTCTAGCAGTGTAAAATTTGATTTTCTAGACAAGGACCTACTGCACAGAAATATGTCGAATAAAGTGGATATGGAGTGGAAGCGCTTCGTGGAGGATCAAAGAAGTTCATCAACTCAGTTGGACTTCCGCCGTTTCCCCATCCACGATCAATTTGTTTGTCCAGTGGATTGAAACATATGGTGGTGAATATAATTTTCAGGATACAAAACTCTTTGTGTGATTGTATACTTGTTTACTGTCCGCAAGTCAATAAACGCATCCTTCAGTGGCCGCAAACGTCATATCCTCGTTTATCTAGTTAGGGTGGTGTTAAGAAAAGCTTGCCCACCAGGTTAGATGGTCCGGGTCAAACAGCCAGCAGGTAGTATGACCAGCACTCAGGTCTTGCAGGACTGAGAGCCATGCATCAGTCGTGGACGTTACATCTAACAGAAACTAACTAGAAACCAATTCAAAACAATCAAGCAATCTAACCAGCTGGTTTCTCAGAGGGTGAAATCACGCGTCAGGCCAACTCAAGTGGATCCCAAACGGGAAACGTGGAGTTAGGCGTATATCCGACGGTGACACTGGGGAGATTGTATGAGGGGGCAGTGAACGCTTACGAACAGTCGTGGGACCAGCTAAACAGGACTGTAGAAGGCAGGATGAAGAGGAGGCGTGTTGTTGGTGCCTTTTGTCTTACTGGGAAACTAAGGGAATAATAGTATTAATACTGCCACTGGCTACGCTAACGCGTCAGCAGCGTTATTTACCACAGCGTCCCAATGCTTGTTAAGATTGCGAGGTTTTCGGCAACACTTAGTTACCTGGCCACAGGTTTTATGATACCGACAATAGTGCGGATTCCTGGGTGGATGAACAAGTGATTTACTGAGTGAAGATCACTTTCTTTGGCAGTTGGGGGAAATTCAGGAGATCACTGACCCGAGGAAACACCTTGCGGAGTTACGTAACTCCATTGTTTCAGTCACTGCTCGAAGGTCGTTTACCAGCCAAATTATTCTCAAGCTTGACATGGCAGATGAGTTCGTCAAGACGCTGTCGGTCTAAAAGACCTTATTTCTCTAAGGCCGCTGTCTCAAGCGTCTCGTGAATCAGTGACTCCAGGTCCATGGAAATCAGGTTTAACTTACAGAAACCATGTTTCTGCATCATCCGGCCCAAAGGGCACGAGGTGAATAAGAATCCCAGTCAGTCTGATGCTTATAAGCTTGGGTGTTTTTTCACGAAATAGGTGAGCAGGACAGTTTCTGACCCATCTCTTGTACCATGCACCCTAAAAGCTGCAGCGGTGTGATAAAAATTTCCAGTAATTAGACAAATGCTTTCTTCGGAATTTATACGCCTACTTTAGCGGTTTCCTTATGTCTTTTGAAATTGTCATTTCATTCATTTGATAATACAGATTCACTAAATAAAGGAGAGATTCGGACGAGTCAAGATTCGGTGAATTGCGGCCCATAACTAATCGGTATGTGTCAGTCGACTCTCATAAACTGTCGATGTCCTGCTCTTACTACGCTGGACCTCACGCTGTCCCTCGAAGACTTATAGAAACACTTTGTATTGACCAGCGCAAAAATCAGAACAGTGATTGGCGACTCAATAATCCTTTATTCTTACCCCAACATATAACCAACAATAAGGTTAATACACAAGGTCTAAGAATAAATGTTATAACAATAAATCATGATAATACTTCTGATAGTTTTTTTTATCTTCCCTGAGCTATGAGACGATGACTGCATTAGTGATGACTCCCACGAAGAATATGGAGGAGTTGGGTTTGAGCAAACAGCCATGAATTGATCGTTCAATCTTCAACTACATTGAGAGTATGTCTATGAGTAATAAATAGCAAAATATCTGCAAGTTCAGCGTAATTCAATTTTCATCTGGTGGAAAATATAAGCTTTTCATAGCAATGAACGCCAAGTTGCTGTTGGCTGGTCTGAAATGAGTTTAATCAGAAGGTAGTAAAATGTAGTTTCAACTCTTATAGTTCACCTTGTGAAAATGTCAAATAAAAAATTCTCAGTTATGTCCACTTTCACGAATGAATATAATGCTCAACGTGGTTTCGCTCATAAAAGGCTACGTTAATACGATATTAGTACGAAACACATATATTCAATAGGCTCGTATGCTTCGAATTACACATATTAGACCTCTCAGAGTATTCTGCTGGACTAATTATGGCTTACTAACCTAGACTTATCATAGTACAGGAACATATCTGAAACCAGTGAAAGAGAGAAATTCCGTGAGATCCTAGTATGCACAGGGATTTTAATGTTTTATTAGTGGTGTGGCTGTTCATTTTTATTTTTTGCTATTTCTGAAAGGATTTCGTATTTTACATTTCTTAGGTGTACACTAATTTATCCAGTAAGTGGGAGGAAAGAGAGAGCCAAGAGAACGTTCCAAACCATAGGTAACACGCCTTTTTCCATTCTGTCAGAGAGATGATGTTACAGTGTCAGAACGGGTAATGAAAAAGCGCATAATGTGAAGGGAAAGGAAATCTGCTGGAAATTTTCGGGTCTCAACATTCGTGCAAGTGGAAGACCTTGAGAACAAAGTTTGTGACCTGTATCACTGATGCTAATCAACATGAAATTTCTTTCTTAACACAGATCTGTTTAATGTCAGAACTAGACTTTTCAAATTTAGCAATTCCTATTTATATGGTACTTTTTCTTTGAAACTACGTAAGAACTGCTAACCATGATTTCACTCATGTATTCTGTAAAATTCACTTTCAAAGTCTTACTATAAATACATGATAACACACTGTAATTTCTCCTCAGAATTTTTTGGGAGGTTTGGATTCGGACAAGTGACATTTGACAGCTTTTTTCTAACAAAGCAGTGATTTATACCTTTGTCTTAAGCCGCGCATTTAAATTAGGATTTAACCTTGACCTTGACTGCCGTCGAAGTCGTGTGGATTCGTGTGATTATTTTGGATTGCTTTTCTCTTGATGCATTCCTAGATAAACGTAAGCACTTTATGTTTGTGACATACTTTCAATACGTGTTATACTATATAAAGTTACTTTACTTAGTGACCGCCTAGTGGTTTGTAGGATTATTTTTTTCTCAACGCATATGCGTCGTGTAGCTGTTTTAGAGACGGAGATGCGAATAGGATGTAGCTGCGTTAGTGCGATCAACCAGATTTTTACCGTATGTACAGAAAAAGGTTGTAGACTCTTGTCTGTGCTTGCTCAGGATTGCCTATAGGCAATGCAGCTGCAGTAATTGTATGTACGCTTATACATTATAGTACATATATACATATATATGTATATATAATGTCGCGACTAATATCTGAGATTGATGTATCATCTATTAGCAAAGCTGGGAATTGCTCATAAAGGTGATTCCTTGCCAGTGGTAGTCGAAAGTATTATATTATTATTATTATTATTGTATCCTTTAGTTCCTAGAGGAACATAGGGCTTCAGCTGCGCACCTCCATTGACTTCGGTTTTCTGACAACTTTTTCACCCTGCTCCAGGTCTGTCCACATGCTTTCATCTCCTCCTCGCATGACCTCCTCCAAGTCACCCTTGGACGACCAACTCGCCGCCTCCCTTTCGGGTTCCACTCGAGGGCTTGTCTAGTGATGTCACTTGATGGTTTCCTCAGCGTATGGCCAATCCATCTCCATTTCTTTCTGCCTATTTGTTTCACAATCGGTTCCTGATTGGTTCGCTCCCAGAGATCCCTGTTGCTGATCTTTTCTGGCCATCTGATCTTGAGTATTGAGCGGAGACAGTTGTTAATGAAGGTTTGAAGTTTGTTTGAGATGCTCTTTATGACTCGCCAAGTCTCTGATCCGTATAGTAGCACTGACTTCACATTGGAGTTGAAAATCCGGATCTTATTTTTGATGCTGATTGCTGTTGACCTCCACACAGATTTGAGAGTAATGAAAGCTTGTCTTGCTTTTCCGATTCTGGCTTTGATGTCCTCGTCAGTTCCGCCTGTAGTTGAGACGATGCTTCCCAGGTAGGTGAAGGAGGTTGTTTCTTTCAGGTTCTTCCCATTTATGCTTATTGTGGTCTGTTGTGTTGTTGATGTTGGCTAGGAATCTTCATTATCTCTGTTTTATCTATGTTCACGTGAAGTCCTATCTTTGATGCTTCTTCTGCCAACTTGTTACTTTTCACTTGCATATCTTCCAGTTTATGGGAAATCAGACATATATCATCGGCGAAATCCAGATCCTCCAAGTCTTTTGTGTCAGTCCATTTTATGCCTGTTCCCTCGTTGGTTGCCGTTGTCTGTCGCATTATCCAATCAATTGCAATCAGGAAGATCATTGGTGATAGTAGACAGCCTTGCCTCACTCCCGTCCTCACTTCGAAGGCTTCCGTAAGTTTCCCGTTGTGGATTACTTGGCATGCAGCATTGTCGTATAACTGTTGGATGAGGTGTATAATTGTCGATGGGACCCCGTAGTAGCGAAGTAGTTTCCAAATGACCTCTCGATCGACGCTGTCGAAGGCCTTTTCAAAGTCGATGAAGTTGAGATAGAGAGGTGACTGCCATTCCAAGCTTTGTTCAATGATGATCCGTAGAGTGGCGATTTGATCAATACATGATTTGTTTCTCCTGAATCCAGCCTGTTCCGGACGAAGTTTTTCATCTAGGGCTTGTTTGATTCTCTCCAGGATGATGCGACTTAGTATCTTGCTTGGAATGGACAGAAGCATAATTCCACGCCAGTTTTTACATTGACTTAAGTCTCCTTTCTTTGGAAGTTTGAATAAGTAACTGTTCTTCCAATCCTCGGGTACTTTGCCCTCTTTCCACACCTTCTCCAGTAGTGGTGTCATCAAGTCCGCTGTTGTCTCTGGGTCTATTTTCAAAGCCTCTGCTGGGATTCCATCTGGTCCCGGTGTTTTCCCAGCTTTAAGCATCTTGATTGCATTCAGGACTTCTGATTTCGTCGGGGGGTCAGTGTTCACTGGTAGTTCTGCTTCCGTTGTTGGTATTGCTGGACGTGTTGTAGGTGGCGGACGATTTAGAAGTCTTTTGAAGTGTTCAACCCAGTGCTTTCTCTGTTCCACCTCTTTGGTGATTGACTTTCCATTGTCGTCCTTTATTGGCTTAATCTGTGTCGAACGTTTGCCCGAAAGGTTCCTAGTTGTTTGGTAGAGTGTGGCGAGGTCTCCTTTGCCTGCAGCTTGTTCTGCTTCGTTTGCCATGGTTTCATAATATTTTCTTTTGTCTTCCCTGGCACTTTTCTTCACTCTTTTGTTCAGTGTATTGTAGCTTGCATTCAGCTCCTGTTTTTGTTGCTCGTCAGTGCACTGGATAATCTTTTGCTTCACTGTCCTTCTCTCTTCTATTAGTTTCCAAGTGTCCGTAGTGAGCCACTGTTTGTCCTGTCTCTTTTTTCTGCCTAGAATTTCTATGCAGGTTTGGCTCCACACCGTTTTCAAGTTGTTCCAGTGCTTTTCAACGCCGACCTCTTCGCTAGTGTTGATTTGTGTCTCGCTTTGTCCTTTATGCTTGCAATGAAGATGTCCTTTGTAGCCTGGTCCTTCAGCTTTTGAGTGTTGAACTTGGCTTGTGGTCTATCTGCAGCTCCTGATTCCCTGAAAGCTTTTAATTTGATTTGGATTGTCCCTTGTACGAGATAGTGGTCTGAGCCAACGTCTGCTCCTCTTCTTGCTTTTGTGTCCAGTAGGCTGCGCCTCCACTTCCTTGAGATTGAGATGAAGTCGATTTGGTTTTTGGTTTGCCCGTCTGGTGACACCCATGTAGCCTTGTGGATATCTTTGTGCTTGTATACACTGCCACCAATCACCAGTTCGTTGAAGGCGCAGAAGTCGGCGAAGAGTTCTCCGTTTTCATTCATTTCTCCTAGAGCTTCTCTACCCATGATGAGTTCCCTTCCCGTATTGTCTGGTCCCAGTTTGGCGTTCATGTCTCCCATTAGTATTTTCATGTCGCCAGCTGGAGTATTGTCCATTGTTGCCTGTAGTTGCCTGTAGAATTCTTCGAAAGTGGAAGATATTAATCGACTGACTCTATTTGACTACAGGTATTTGCATTCTATCCCCGGTGTTGTGATGTAATATAGAGAGCAATGCAGAGGGTAAGAGTACTGTTAGATAGGGATGGTAAGTCAGTCGATGAGACTGCGAAGCTACACCAATCGAGATGGCTGGATTACGCGTTGAGCATCCCAGCTAGCATTTTTTTCGGGCGCATTGCGAACTTTTTGGAGCAAACTTTGGGACACTGTCCCACGTAAGTAGATCTGCCCAAAGTTTTTTGCCCCAAAAAGTCTGCAATGCGCCCGAAAAAGTGCTAGTTGGGATGCCTAGCCACCGCCTTCCTCGACGAACAATGCTACGTGATTAGCTTGAAAAATCATTAAGGTTAGTCAAATCGAAACTTCATATAGATCTGTGACTTAAATACCGTCAATCTGAGCCACATTTGGGGGTGTAGACAATGATTGGGATCCTCTAGGCTCCAAGAACCAATGGCTGAATAGTTGGTAACAGCTCGAAGTCATTCTCAATTGCACAAATGCATGTATTGTTCGTAATCTTCCAGATCCACGTAATATTGGTGTTTATCGATGTTAATATTCTTCCCCCGTACATTTCTGCACATTTCATTTCTTTCGAATCTCTATTTTTCTTCTACATTTATGACTGACTGATTGGTTTCCACATAGAACTCTGCACCGATGTGCAGCAGTTCGAGTCTCCGCATTTCACGTAGCACACAAAGCGAGAGAAGAAAGTAAAAAGAAATCCGAAATAGAGACAGCAAACAGAGATATGAGGCGAAAGGAATAGTAATATCGAAGAACCATATAGTTTTATTGGATAAGTTACAAGGAGTGGATGCGTCTGCGCCATTGAGATTGATTTTGAGCCTTATCACCAATTTTCTCCAGCCTTCATTGGTTTTTACTGTCCCGAGGATCCCAACCAATAAGCCGGTCTACACCTCCATACGTGATTGGCTCAAACTAATTGTTTTGCATTTCATTGACTGATGAGGCCACGTTTTGGTTTGACTGCCACTAGCTCTTTTCCAACCTGATCCATCCTGTGTCACCTAACACTGCCCATTGTCGAGAAAGGTGATGGCTGGGCATACGTAACACGTGTCCGAACCATCTCAATCGATGTAACTTTACAGCACTGTCTATTGACTTCCCTTCCTTACCTAGCACTCGACACCTAACCTCAATATTGCTCACCTTATTATATAACTTCACACGGGATGTAGAACACAGGCACCTATGATCAAAGACAGCTAGCTTTTTCAAGTCTTCCACTCAATGGCCATGTCTCACTCGGAGCCATAAGGGAGGAAGGGGCAGACTGCTGAGCAGTACACATGTCCTTTGGTCGATAGTCGGATATCATGTGTACACCAGAGACGGATTAAACTGGAATATTTGCAATTAATAGTGTTCTCTGAGCTGGTTGGTTTAAACTGGCATATGTGAAACGAGCCTTTTGTGTCCGCGCTGAGATTTTGTCAGCGATCAACCCGTTGGGGCTGATGCAACTTCTACCTTTATGGCATATGTAGTGTATCAACTTGGACTGCTGCACTTCTGTGCAAAGTTCTACTCTGGAAATCACTCAGTCAATCACAAGATTATAATATGTTGTGTTTTTTGTTTCTCCGTCTTTATGAGGATTATAACTATGAGACTAATGTTTGGTTTTTGAACCAAGTTTCAGTAGAACTTAGGAGTTTCATCTCCTCTTTACAAATGGCAGTGTTTGTTCTAAGACAACCAATTGATGTGAAGTCGGTTATGATGAAACTATACTTGGGTTTCCTATTTCCAAAAATTTCTTTGAAGTGAAGACCCAAAGAAAATAGATTTTGAAATTTTGTGTGTGGTGGACTCACTACTTTGAAAAAAAAATCAAAATTGTATTGATGAATACTAGTAGTGGACAGGAAGGGGTATAACGTTTCTAAAATGAATCTAACCGCCACAATACATGTTAATTAGGCCGATTCCTGGATATTTCAAGTTGTCAACATAAGAATTATTCATAGAGTTCAATCAGGAAGTAAACCGTCTGTTCACCGTTCACTGTGAATTACCTCATATACTGTTCCACTTTGTTCACTGTAAATCGATAGACTCACAACAAACTTCTAAAGAGTCATTAGAAACTCAATAAGCGAAAACTTAAGCAGTAGTTGATAGTGGCGACATTTATTAACAGGGCGTGAAATTCACGACAAGGAATGGAATTGTGTGTAATTGAATAACTTTCTTGAAATTCTACAGGAAAACTATTCTCTCAGTTTGCTAATGTGTTTCGGGGCACTGTTAAGTATTGCTTTTCATATTGTTTTCCTTTGTTTTCCTAGCCATTAACGTGAAACAGTGTCAGTCAGAAATTCGTCTAAACTAATTGCGTATCGAAAACACAATAAACCGGTGTCGACTGGCGGCTCACTTCATACTATTGCAATGCGTAGAAGTCAACACAAAATCTAGGTACATCCTGGGGAAATGTATGGTTTTAAAAAATATCCACTGGAACTAAATTAACGGGAATTTAAGGTATTTAATTATTAATCAGTTTATCATATCCAAGACCACTGCATAATGTCTCCTAGTAGTCACAGTACAATATATCACAAAAAATCTCATGTATTAAACCAATAGACAAAACTGCACATAAAAATAGTACTTGTACCTTTAAGAGAAAACCAGAAATCACTGTTATCCTGAGTTTTTTCAGTTAACAAGGATTTCTAGAATAAGAGTTGGTAAGATAAATGAACTGTATGACTGGAATGGTTTTTCGCTTTAGTTATACTCCATCTGTGGTTTTTGGAATGTGTAAGGTTTCTTATTTACTGCTGCTTCAAATATGTGCATTTTACCAGTTGTTGTTTTTCCTTTTAAACATAATACTGAACAAATAATTGTATTCGGTACAGCTCTTTATGTCTTTACTGTATCAAGCTTGTGTTTCAGTAAAAACATAATACGCATATAAATCGTCAAGTGATAGGTTGCATTCACAACCTAGTAATATTTGTGCGATAATTTATTATTATTGTCTATTAGATCACAAACTTGATGTACTATCAACACCAAGAGATGCACGACAGGAAATCTCATAGTTTATGCGAAGGCCACGATGCTGTCCGGACGCTCATACCAAAGTAGGTATTGTCTTAGAAGGCTTTAACTTAAAGTATGATCCACGGGACGATGGAACTGCGTTCCCATTGTTGATGGTGACCAAAACAGGTTCATATGCCATTCAACCGGTTCAGATTCTTGAGACTGTGTGAACTACAGGTTCGGAATCAGGGTTTTCCAACTCCCCTGGTTAGACTATTGTTTGTTATTACTCAGTTACCTAGTACTGGTCAGTGAGCCACACACTGTGTGAAAGCTAGTGATGTTACCCAGCTGCCCAGACTGAATTTGACTAGTGGGACGCGAGTCCAAGACCCATCAGCTAAATGACAATTGCTTAAGTCAATGAACTAAATTCCCAGCTTGTTTATCAGATCTTTTGGTTTAGTGTTGTGTTCTCTGATGTGGTTGATTTGATTGCGGAGCTGTTTTTTGTCCTTCTAGACAGCGCAGGTTTTAGTATGAAATAAATTTACTTGAGTTCTCCATGAGTGGTGTTTATTTGTATGTATTTTTACTGACAACCATTGTCGTGACTGGATGTTAATCTACGTCTCTATTGATCATGTTTATCAGTCCTATTATAAGCCTCAAACATCATTTCATAAGGAACACCGTTAGTTCATAAAGGCAGCGAAGATGATTTACTTGACAGAGGTTATGAACGCGTGGCCACATGAGAGCATTTTAAGAGGAAGACCGAAGTTTTCCCAACCTCGGTCATACCACGTCGTTTATGGGGGAAATGAGATAATTGTATTAGATAAGCTGTTTCTTTGAATGGAAAGTTTCTGTTAGATTTATTTCGAGAAAGTTGTATGTTTTCAATATTTCTTTTTCAAATTCCAGATCATGAAATGCAAACGGGCTGGTAACGGAAGTGTCGATTTCCCTGTACAATCTCAAGACTCCGAAATAAAAATGAATGGTGATGTCCAGGGGAATAATGTCATACACATGAGCTTTTCGGAGTTTTTAACCAGTTTGAAGAATCGTGCATGTACTAACGAAGTGTGTAATCCGAACTCTGATACTCAACAGAAATTGGAAAATTCAGTAGTTCAGCACAATACTTCTTCTTTTAAGGCAAATGTATTGCAAAATGTCAGCAGTATTTCCATCCCTGAGACTAAAGATGTCTCCAGTGAGCCATCATTACTTGAAACAAAAGCTGATTCTCCCCCTTCCCGAAATACTGAATATCATTCCAGTCAAACCCTGAATCATATGAACTGTTCAGGAAAAGGTTTCTGTGTTTCTGTCTCGAATCCATCTTCAAACCAAATGGTGCAGGTAATTTTGGTATTATTAAATAAATAATAACTTCTCAGAGGATAACGGAATTCTATATCCCGAGAATTAGTAATTACCATATCTGTTGCAAAAATATTACGGATGAGTATTCGGATTTTCCGATTTCTAAATGTTTGCAACAATTTCAATCTCGTTCTACTGAGTCTTTCAAAACAGGTCAACTTCAAACTGGTGAGCCTCACTTTTGGTAGTTTCTTAAATGATTTATTATTATCACAAAATCCGTACATTGTGGGTATTAAGAGATACACCACAGAAAATCTCAGTTTATACGAAGGCCATGATGCTGTCCGGACGCTCATACCAAAGTAGGTATTGTCCTAGGAGACTTCAAGTTAAAGTATGATCCACAAGACGATGGAACTGCATCCCCATGTTTGACAGTGACCGAAACAGGTTCATATGCCATTCAGCCGGTTCAGATTCTTGAGACTGTGTGAACCACAGGTTTGGAATCAGGGTTTTCCGAGCTCCCTTACGTTGACCGTTATATCCGCCCCTCCAGTTGTAAGGACAAGACATTTGCAACTGCTCTTTCACTCTCGTCAGGAACACAGTTGCTGCTTGAAGGTAGTGGTATAGAACTTAGCTTATGGGGCTACTTTTCTGTTTGGACCTCTTGATTATTAATTGACACTGTATGAAGTAGGAACTGTTATTGATATGTATCCACATATATATATTTATGTGTGTGTGTGCATGTTGGTCTCTCTTTCTGTTTGCTCGGTTAGTCTGTGACCACTTCACTTGTATGAACCTGTCTCCTTTAATAATGTGTATTCTCCTTATATTATATTATATATAATATGAGTGTTTGTTGACAGTCCGTTGCTTGGTGACATATATCCATATATGTTTGTTGGCATGTCTGCTATATTCGCTATGTATAATTGGATCGACACTCCATTATAATTAGCCATTCATGTTAAGACTGTCTAATGATTTTCTCACGCTTGTCTGAATTATTTATATATATTCGCATTCACAATTTGTGTGAACTACTTTACTTTACAACTACTTGACTTGCTTACCACTTTGGTGTGAGACCATTTATTTTCGTCTCCTTGTATTTGGACAATAGAAGTATCATCGCAAACCTAGTGGTCTTCTGATTTCCGCCTTCTCGCGTCAGGACTATTAGTTTCTCGACCAGTCCATAACAATAATTTAGCGACGAGTACATAACAATTTGGCGACGGGGAAACTAGTACATAACAGTTATATAGTGGGAGCAATTGCTTGAAACATATTTAAAGAAAATTATGTTTTTATCTAACTTCACTGACTTTTGTGGAGTGGTATGGTAGTTCTTTGAAAACGTATAAAAGTGGCATTTGTAAGAGCCTGAATTCCTATGCATAATCATTTTAACAAACTTTTTACTGTAATGCTTGCCAATATCTAATAATAAATCTTAAGACTCAGCTTAGTTTATTTTCTCAGTTAAGCTGTACATTTGTAATATTTACTGTATCTTGCCGAGTGCCATTTCAGCTACACTTGTTTGTGTATCTCTTCTTATTTGCAGTTGTAAATGAATGTCAGTTGTGGGTAGATAAGTATACACCAACAAGCTGTTCTGCTTTTCTTAACACATGTCCTGGGATACGAAAACTCCGTCAGTGGTTAGAGAAATGGAAGGATAAAAATTCCAAAGGAGAGAATTCAACGAATAAATTATTGAATGGAACGCCGGAAATGAGATGTACAAAAAGTAAGCTTTTTTTCTTCCTCCTGACGAACTAGCTGTTGGTCATCGTATTTTGGTAATTGTGAGATCCAGTTTTCTTTTGACCGATTTTTTTCTGATTGTTATTATTCCTAAGTGGAACAAAGGGTGTCGATCGCTTACTTCATTTCATTCTGTTCTCTACAGTCGTCTTTCGCTGACTGCATGATCGCCCATAGACTATCATCTCACACAATCCCCTGCATGTCACCCTTCTACCTACGTCGTTTATAATCTGGGATCTCCTCGAAGGGTGACTTGACACACGATGTCACTCAACCGTCTCTTCACTGTGTGTCTGATTCATCTCCATTTTGTTCGTCATATTTGTTAGGCGACAAGCTCTTGATTGGTTCTCTGTCAGTGTTCCTTGTTGTTAATCCTTTCTGACCATCTGATCTTAAGTATGCAGCCAGCGAAGGCAGCTGTTACTGATAAGTCTGAACTTTACTCGGAATACTTTTAGTGATATGTCGAGTCTCTGAAGTATATAGAAGCACAAACTAATTTGACATTAATGCTGAGAACCCGAAATTCGTTCTTTGTGCTGACTACATCAGATTTCCACGCTGGTTTTAAGTTGTTGAATGCTTGTGTTTCCTTTCCGATCCTGACTTCGACGTCCTGATCCGTGTCGTCTGCAGTTGAAACAATCCTGTCTATTTAAGTACTTACTTACTTTACTTTACTTCGGCTATCTCCTACGGGAGGATGAGCCGGCTTCATGAACCATGAAGTTTCATGGGAATTTGGTACGAGTGATGTCCCCAGCATCGCTCGGCCTTTTGTTTGAGAGTGCAGCTCTAGCCTTTACACAACCAAGTGTGGCCTACAAGGCAGTAGGAGTGGAGTAGGGAGTCCACTATCCATTGGCAGCCGGTGACCGGAGTCCGGTTCATTCGCCTTTTTGAATGGGGCCAGTCATCCAGGGCATCCAATAAGCTCTTTGTCCATACGTCTGCTGGTGAGCTTCATACGCCAGTCGTTGGAGGTTTGGAATCAGGGTTTAGCCATCTCCCCTAGACTGTCATCCAATGGACAGTCAACCCGGTGAAGAGCGCCGGGCATCCGCTTTTGCCCTCTCACTTTGGTGAAAAACACCTCCGCCACGTGAAGGCAGTGAGTAGGACTTCCTCAGGAGAGGCTATGTAAGACGCCTGGTCATATGGGAGCATTTCAAGAGGTGTACGGAGGGGTGGCCAACCCGCAGCGCAAGACACCCACCCCCGACCATCCTGAGGCTTTGGAGGCTCTAGATAAGTGAAGGAAGTGATCTCTTTTAAATTTCTCCCGTCGATAGTGATTTGTGTTTGTTGTTGTTAGTTGGTTGGTTGGTTATCTTCATCACCTCTGCTTTCTTTATGTCCACTTGAAGTCATGCCTTTGTTGATGATATGCATCATCAACGAACTATGGACGGATCGTTTGTGCAATTTTCGGCATAATCTCTTTTGGAAGAATTGTTTCGAAAGTGATTATACTATTTGGTTGCAGGATTTCATCATGAGCTGACATTGGTTAGGGGACGTGAGAGTACTGGACAGCTGTTTCATCTTAGTTTGGGACTCTTCAGCATTAGGGTGCAGCAGGTCGGGTGTGAGGACAAATACTCGCTGAAGACATTGGCTAGCGGTCGCACTGTGTCGTGAAGTGGCAGAAGTTAGAATTCATGGACTGGTCATTAGATCAGGTCCCAGTGGCTCAATGGTCTACGAGCTACCTCGCCTTGTAACCGGTAGGCCTTTAGTTCGAACCCTGGCCGGTGGGTGCGTACTGATGAGGAGTCCCAAACTAGGACTGCTGAAACAGCTGTCCAGTAATCCCAGGTGGTTTTCCAATGGTTCTCTAACTAACGTCAGCTGATAATGAAATCCTGTAACCAAATAATTCTTGTGTTGAGAACTTCTGGTGGCCAGTGATTGACCTAATTAACATGAATTGTTGTGTTTAGATTCTTTTAAGAGACTTGATCCTCCCTCTTGTCTACTACCAGTGAGCATTGATGCATATTTCTTTCATTTTAAAGTGGTTTTCACACTTTTATAAATTTTTTGAGTTTGAATTATATGATATCGTATTTATTTTTCTTCTTTACAAGAAAGACTCCGAAATGATTCTAGTGATTGTAGTGATGATGACTTCATTATCGAACGCTCAACAAATAAACGTCAAAAAAGTCATCATCATCATCATCATCCTACTTCATATGATCAAGTTGAAAAAAAGACTGAAAATTCCGATATGAAATTACCTATTGGCTATAATGAAGATCAAGTGGACTCCTCCAACTCCAATAGTAATTCAGATGGCGATTGTTCATCGACTAGTGATGAAGAAAGCGATTACAATGACTACAAAAAGCCTTCACATTCAAAATGGCAAACAAAAGCTTTTTATTACTAGGCCCCAGTGGAACAGGCAAATCTTCATTGATTTATGCTTTGGCCAATGATTTAGATTTTAAGGTAAAGCGCCCCCCCCTGTTATTGATTGATTTGATATTCTATAGGTATTCGAGTTGAACCCTTCAAGTAGACGTTCCGGTAAAGATATTACATCTCAATTTCAGAGTGCACTGAACTCACATCATGTAGCTAAAGATAATCTATCAACTAATTTTAGTACATTTGAAATGATAAGTAAGTTGTATTACAGTTGTATTCGTCTAACCTTGTAATTATTAAGCATCCTCCTCGTCATCAGTGTCATCGTCAAATAAGAATAAGTCGAAACAGGCGCAAAGATCTGCAGCGAATTTTTTCAAACCAATTTCTAAAAAAACTACTACCACTACTGCTACTACTACTAGTGAGGAAAAAGTTAACACTTCTAAGAAAGGTATACTAAACATTCTTTTCTCCTGATCGATTATTCCATTTTTTCTTTAGACGTAGACTGTTTAAATCTAAATTGTAATTCAGTAGTATTGTTCGATGAGGTGAGTAATCAAGGTATAAATAATATTTGATGGTATATAGCATTCTACTTGTCGTATAAGTAATTTTTAAACGCTTAGGCGAAAACCATTCAATGTGTAATCGACAGTGAATAGTTTGTTTTGTTTTACAAGAGATGATAGATGGAAGAATCCTATTCTGTTGCACCAAAAGTGTTGTAGTGGTCTGTGTTGTGAAAGAAGCGTCTAAGTCGTCTATTATGTTTGTTTTTTTATTCCTTTACGTTCCCAGTGGAACACATGGTCTCAAGCTAGAGGCTTGAAGTCTCGGTAGCAGTGGTGTTTGCTTTATTTTTTACGGGATGAGGTTGCTAGCCTCATTCCCAACCTTCCCTCTTTACCAGTCTTATCACTTGCTTAGCAAGTTAAAGGAGTGCGTCGTTCGGGGATCGAACCCTAGACCACGTGAGGTGTGTTTGGCTAGCATTCTACCGCTCTGCCATCGACGCACCTGTCTATTATTTTAATTAAAGTGATCTACTGTAATTCATAGAGCCATACATGAAGAGATGTCATCAGAAGGAAACTTCGTTTGACTCAGTCTAGAGAGCCGAATCAGTTCAATCCACCCGAATACGTCCTTGTCGTTGGACTTGGTTTACACACTGGACACCCTAAAAGGAAGTATAGACCATAAAACGTACGAAATCACTGATCAATGTTAAAATCTAGGAAGGACAACAGGTGTTACTTTTCATACACTTTGAATTTCCCTGGGTTCCATATTTATTGGCCACACCTCTTTTGTATCCTGTTTTGCTTTAATAGCTGTTGTGTAATGTATGCAGCGTAACAAACCATCTACGCTCGCTGTTGATTTTGTATTTCAGTAAAATCTGAAACACTCATTTCATCCTATGCATCCAAGTGTTGCTGACAGGACTGAAGTCTATCAGAGTGAATCAACCACTAAATTTGGATAGTCGTATCTGTTACGTGATAAGTAGGCATTGGAAATTAGAATTCTAATGAAAAATTCAGTTTTTAGTGGGCTCTAATTTCATGTTTCAATGAAAACATGTAGACTGGTAGACAGGTACATTCAGTGAAGAGTAATAGAACTCATAGTCATGACAACCATCAAGTAGCGAAACGTTACACCTAGTTACATGCGTATATAATATTTAAAGAGACAGTTAAATTCGGTTCAGCTAAGTGAATAGTGATAAATTACAAAATCTGAGTAACACTCCTCTATCTTGTTTATGATACCACTGAATTGAGAAGTAATAACGATACATATTTGCAGTCAAAATGTCAATTAATTTGTCCATTTTGTTTGCGGTTATTTTGAGGTAACAGTATTTGTGAAAATGTCGTCCTGATTCTACTTACACTCAATTTATGTTAAAGGTGATAGTTAAAAAATTCTTCATTAATAGTAATTGGATTGTTTTTTGATTTAACGGAGAAATAAATTGGGTTTAGAACAACCGTGATTCAAAAGAAATGACCTCAATGTCCACTTGAAGATTTCCATGTTAAACAATAAGACATTCTTTATTTTAAAGTTATTCATTTTATATAGTCAGTTAGATTCAGCAAATTAGATAAACTGCAGTGATCGTAAGTGGTAGAAATAGGCACTTAAGTGCCCATCAGTGACTGACTATGGGATGAAGCTGTCCGATGTCCTAGTGAGTGATGGTGATCAGTTGTGTCCAACAACCAATGACATCGGCTAGCGGTCACGCTATAAATCGTCAATTGGCAAATGTTAGATTTAGTGGCCCATTGGATTCTGTGCTAGTGTTTGTGAATTCTTAGAGTGCTAGCTTCGCAAATTGGCGGTCCTGTGTTCGACCCCCAGTGGAATTATGCAGTTGCGTATCTCTGAAGAGTCCCAAACTAGGTCTGTCTGTTTTCGACATAGAACTTTGCACATATGTGCGGCAGTTCAAGTCGCCACACTCCGCTCCTTGTAGCACACAAAGCACGAGAAGGAAGTAGAAGAAATCCATAATAGAGACAGTAAACAGAGGTGTGAGACAAAGTAATAATAGTAAACGAAGAACAAAACAGTTTTGTTGGAAATCACAAGTCACAAGGAGTGGATGCATTTACGCCAGCCATTGAGAACGATTTTGAGCCATATCACCAATTGTTTCCAACCACTGGTTTTTACCGCCCCGAGGACCCCAACCTGGAAGTCTACACCTTCCTACGTGGCTTAGACTAACTGTTGTAGATTTTATTGACTGGTACCATGTTTTGGTTTGACCTCCGCTAGCTTTTTTCCAGCCTGACCCTATATCAGCTAACATTACCCTTGTCGAGGAAGGCGATGACTAGGCATACGTAACACATGTCCTAACCATCTCAGTCCATGTAACTTCACAGCCTCGTCGATTGATTTCTCCTCCTTACCTAGAACTCGACGCCTAACCTCACTATTGCTCAATCTAGTATACTACACGGGAGATAGAACAAAGGCACCTATGATCAAAGGCAGCTAATCTTTTCATGTGTTCCACTTTCAGTGGCCAGATCTCACAGCCATAAAGGAGGACGGAGCGGACTGATGAGCAGTACACCCGCCCTTTGGTCGATAGTCGAACATCTCGTCTACGCCAGAGTCGGCGTAAACTAACAAATGCGAAACGAGCCCCCTGTATTCGTGCTGAGATTTCGTCAGAGATCAACCCGTTGGCACTGGCTGATGGTACTTCCCAAATAAGTGAAGCGGTCAACGTGCTCTACCACTTCACTTCCTATTTTTAAACTAGGCGTCGATGTAGTCCAGTCCTGTAACATCATCTTGCATTTGGCGGGAGCGAATCGCATGCCAAACATTCGTAGATTGCAGCTCAAGGTGTTTAGAAGACTCTGCATTTTGTCAGCGTCTTCGCCTAGAAGGACTATATCGTCTGCATATTCCAAGTCAACGAGATTATTTCCCGGTAGCAAGTCAATCCCTGAGTCGCTGAAGTCACCTAGGGTTAAGTCCATTAACACATCTATGATGAAGTTGAATAGAAAAGGGGATAATGGGCATCCTTGACGGACACCACTGGTCGTCATCAGTTCAGATGACAGCTCGCCGTAAGCCCTCACCTGGCTGTATGAGTACGAGTAGAGTGCCTTAATCAGTGCAATATATTTTCTTGGAATTCCCTTTACAGCCAAGCATCTCCAGAGAACTTCTCGATCGACAGAGTCGAATGCTGCCTTTAGGTCAAGAAATATAATGACTGTTGGACGCCGGTAGGAATGCCTATGTTCTAGAATCTGTCGGAGGGTGAAGATATGATCAATACACCCTCTTCCTGGTCTAAAGCCTGCCTGGCTCTCTCGTGTTTGTGCCTCCCGAGCACCACTCAGTCTACGCATGATTATTGAGCCTAAGACTTTAGATACTATATTAGTCAAGCTAATCCCTCTGTGATTATCACAGGAAGACTTGTCTCCCTTCTTGTATATGGGGATAATCAGTGACTTACACCAACCCGATGGGACTTCTTCTGATTCCCAGACGCTGCCTAGTACCTCAGTTAATCCAGACAGTAAGCTGTCTCCACCGTACTTAAATACCTCTGGAGTCATTCCATCAGGTCCCGCTGCTTTGCCTAGTTTCAGATTGGTGACAGCTTTAGTAACCTCAGTTAGGGACGGAGGACCTGTGTCTATATCCCATTCAGGGAGGTGTTGGATGCTCGGAAGGTTGAGCGTGGCTGTGGGCCAATTAAACTGCTCCTCATAATGCTCTTTCCAACGATCCAGTCGTCTATCCTGGGAGCTAATTATAGTGCCATTTTTTTCCGAGATTGTTTCACTAATGATTTGTCTTCTCCCACCCGTTTCCCTGATGAGTCTAAAGAGTTGCCTGGTGTTGCCTATCCTCGAAGCTTTCTCCATCTCTTTGGCTTTTGTCGCCCACCACTGTTCACGGTCCTTGCGGAGACTTTTCGTAAGTTTCCTTTTGTGCAGCTTTCGCTCCTCATTGAATTCGGAGCTCGCCGGAATAAGTCTTCTAGCATCTATCAGTTCGGATGAGGCGGTGGAGATCCAGTGGTTTTTACTCACCTTTGGGTTTACCTTATTCACAGCTTTTACAGCTGTATCTATGGCTGCCTGGATATTTTTCCAAGCTTCTTCAGGGTGAGCACAGCTGTCGAACACAGATATGTGTTTAGCTAGTTCTTCCTCAAATACGGATTTAGTTTCCTGATCGAGCTGGGGACGTGATGGTTTTACCGCCAGCTGTTTCCTACGTCCGTTCAGTCGTAAGCACACACGAGCGCGGACCAGTGCATGGTCGGTATCTACGCACGTGTTCCAGAAGGAGCGACAATCTCCTACCGACCCACGCCAACGATAGCTTATTGCTATGTGGTCTATTTGTGTCCAGCGTTGGTTTGACGAAGGGGGTCTCCAAGTCAAACAGTGTCTCTCCTTGTGTTTGAAGTTAGTGCTTACAAGAAACAAATGATTATCAGAACAGAACTGTAGGAGACGGTCACCGTTGTCGGTTCGCTGGCACGGAACTCCATAGGTGCCACCGACATCCTTCTCAGATTGACACAATTTCCCTACTTGAGCGTTAAAGTCACCAGCTAGAACGACTATGTCTGAGCGTTTAGCCTTTCTCACCAAACTAGACAGCTTTTGGTAGAACTCATCCTTCGTTTCATCTGAACTGCAGTCAGTGGGGGCGTAGGCGGAGATTACGAAAAGGCATCGGCGAGTAGTGCAGTCCTTCCTCCTTTTTACTGATCCGTTCAGACGGACAGCACACATTCGGCTATCTACCGGGATCCAGTCAAGCAATGTCTTTTCTGCCCTAGTACTCAAAGCTATCCCTACGCCAGCTAATCCTCGTGAACTAGCTGTGGCATCTCCTGACACCCTCAAGGTGAATTTTGCAGATTCAACCTGTTGGCCAGGTGGGGTTAGGTGAATAACCACACTTGGGTCTTGTATGCGTGTTTCTGAAACACAACATACCCCAAACTAGGACGAAAAGCTGTTCAGTACTCCTCAGTTTTTAATGGTTTTTTAACTGAAGTCAACTTGTGTTATCAAAGTTAAAGACAACTGAATCCGTGCAAACGAAATAAATGTGAGAATAATTTAATCAATATCAGTGAGATTGCGTTGTATATTGATGTGATAAAATCCAGTTCTTTTGAGTTTTTCAGAGGCGAACGATTGGAGTAAAAGTTAGTTAACATTCATTAAGGTTTTTATTAGAAACTAATACCAACCAAAAAGAAAAGCCCTGGAAATCCTCTTTCTTGTAACTGACATTCATTTCGTGGTAACAGTTGTCAAGTTTTTGCAGTACTTTGTATTTTTGCCTGTCACACAACACGGTCGCTGTTGAGTATCAAGTGTATACAACAAAGAATGCCGTTATAGGTAAACTTAGTGAAAGTAGGATGAAGCATCTTTTAAAACATTTGAAAAATAGATCCAACGTTTATGTTCGTTCAAGCATATTACAGTTGTTGTTAGCTTGAAAATGCATCATTTTCACTTTATTGTAGCACATTAGTTTTAGAGTATTTGTTTTTCAGTGTGTATCTCTTTGTTTGATATTACTGACATACTTTTCCAATAATTTCCAGGTGGATGTACTTTTTGAAAGTGATCGAGGTTTTTGGTCTGGTCTGAGTAATTTATTGCAATTAGCTCGCCGTCCAGTTGTGCTTACTGCTTCTGATCCTTCAATAATTCACAATATACCAGTTCCAGTGTATGTTTGTCATACTACATCAGCTTCATTGGTTAGTGCCCCGGAGTTTTTCCTGGTTATTGTTTCCTACTTACTCTTTTTTTTTATTCGCTACATATTAGTCTGTAAATTGTGTACGAGAATTTGGGAAATCGGGAACATTTATTTCCTGATACAACACATTAATAGAGCAAGATTCAATGAACTTATCGAATTCTAGAAGGACTCTTTAACTGATTACACTACACATTGTGTTATTATACACTATGACAGATAATAATGATAATGGCTATAGCTCTATTTTGAACAATGTTTATACTGATGTACAGTATTTTCAGTAGAGTTTATTGCATGATATTGTCTTTTCGTCCAGGATCTTCAAATGTTGTACCGTTGGTTGACAGTAGATCGTGTGACATAGTTGTATCTAACCTGAAGTGCAAACGAATTCTCTATGACATCTATTCTTTGTCCTCTTCGAGAAATTTGATGATATTTAGTTGAGTGCCAATCATAAAAAGTTGAGGAGTACATTTTGTGAACCTAGGACACCACTCAGTAATGGTCATCTTATGTACTGGAGATAAGCTGCCATCGAGGATAGTGCTTCTTTTCAAGTATTGGTTTTGTAGGAATTTAGTTTGATTGGATGGAGGACTTCGTCATGAGCTGACATCAGTTAAAGAACAACTGGATTCGAGCCCCGGTGGGTGCGTACTGATGAAGAGGCCCAAATTTCAACGAAACAGCTGTCCAGTACTCCCAGGTTTTCCAGTGGTTCTCTAATTGATGTCATCTCATGATGAAATCCTCCATCCAATCAAACCAAATCCCTACAAAACCAATGCTTGAAAATTAATCTGATGCTCACTAGCGACTGGCCCAATTCAGGCAGTCTCCTAGGGTTCTAGTGGGAAGCCGTGACTAGTAGGGTACAGCAGATCGAAGATGAGGCGGTAACTAATCGAAGAAGACCTTGCGAAGTGGTCGCGCTGTGTCGTGAATTGGCAGAAGTTAGAATTCATGCACTGGCCACTAGGTCGGGTCCCAGTGGCTCAATGGTCTATGAGCTAGCTCACCTTGTAACCAGAAGGTCCTGGGTTTGAACCCTGGTGGTGGATGCTTTTTGATGAAGAGTCCCAGCCTAGGACTGACGAAACAGCTGTCCAGTAATCCCAGGTGGTTTTCCAATGGTTCTCTAACTAATGTCAGCTCATGGTAGTGCTTTTTGTCATGTTTAGTAGAAACTTGAGAATCACTAGGTTGTAATTGTTTTCAGTACTCGCTAGAGTAAACAATACTATTAAAGGTCATACTTTGCCAGAGTTTCCCAAACCGAATAAGAGAAATTATACGCAGTATGCGATGATGGGGATTTTCGACAGCCTAATTTTTAAGCTGGCCGCCGATAAGTAACGAGGTGTGACTAATTAATAAACCACAATGAATCAATGGTAGCAAAATGTTTTACAGGTCAAGTTCAGTTAAGAGATTAAAAACTAAGCTGTTAAAGGATAACAGTTTAATTAACGTCACTGTAGTAACCAATTAGTTATCAGATAGAGGATATTTGAGAAATGCTGAAGATCATTAAGTACTTCTGAAAAAAAACACTTCATAAGTGCTTGATTTTGGTTTTTTCTTCTGGTCCAATGATTTTGTTGTAGATATCTGTGACTATAGAAAACAATTGCGGTTATGTACACAAACTAACCCTTAAGAGTGAAGCTTTCAATCACATTTCTGTTAAGCTACGTGTTTTTCAAATGGTTAAAACCAGAGTCCCTTAAATATTGGGATTCAATTTTTTGTTTTCATTCATTAGTACAACTGAATGCGATTATTATTAGTTTAAGGCCTCGACTTTCAGCCAGAGTATGTTCAAGTCTGGAAGACTGTACCAAAAACTACACAATAAACAGTTGAGTAGTAATTTCAACCTTCAAGTTTGACCTCACAGTCTGGCATTGGAAAAAATCTCTCCGGGCTAACGGATTTCTAGCTACCCAACAAATTAACTAACCAGTGGATTAATCAGTTTTGCGGGTGAGGTAATAACAGAACCTGCTCTACCAAAGGTGTGTCCAAGTTCGACTTATTCCTAGCAATATATTATGCTTCCTACTCTTTGGATTACAGCTTTGTAGTGGAATTCAGACCGACTTGTTTTCCAGTAATTTATTTTTTTTCTAAATTATTGATCTTTTCAATGTCAATCCTTTCCCACACTGGCAGGATTCCACTTGTGCAACTGAACTCATTTTATTGAACAGTAAGGTTGGCTAGAGTAGTCATCAGTCTGTTTAGTCACTAACAACTACTTTTTACTAAGCCATGGAAACAGTTGTCAGTTGCATGGCTACAATCCTCTAGATGTTAAGAGTCAACGTTTGAAGAATCTTAGTGACATGAGTCGAAGTCGTTCACACTGGCATAAATGTACTATTATTATTATTATTATTACCCACTACTTGCAATCCAATTGGAACATAGAGCTTTAGTGGCACTCTTTACTGTACTCTGTTCACTGCCATCACTTTCATTTGAGTTCACAACTACCTGAAAGCTTTAGTTTCCTCCTCAAATGGTCTCATTCATGTCATGCTTGGATGCCCAAAGTGTCACATCCCATTCGACTTGGTGTATGACGTTGCTTGAGTGAGTGCCTTCTCAGCGTAAGTTCAATACATCCACATTTCATTCTGCATATTTGTTTAGCAATGGATTTTTGTCTGCTGATTCTCTCCATTACCAGAGGTCCTTGCTGTTTACCATTTCTGGCCATCTTATGTTGAGTACTGAGGAGTCAGCGAATGCAAGTGTTGATAAAAGTCTTTAACAGGTTGTTGGAAATGCTTTCGGTTATCTGGTCCATATAGAAACACTGACCATAATGACATTAGTTTTAAAAGTCCGAATTTTGTCCCTTTGCTGAGTGTTATAGATCCCCACATTGATTTCAGAGTAATAAACGCCTAACTTGCTTTTATGATCCTGGCTTTGATATCCTCCCTCATCCATACCGCCTGTAGTTGAAACGATACTACATCTAGGTGGGATCGGTGAGAGAGAGATAGAGAACTTCCTTTAGATTTTTCCTGATTGCTGCGGAAACTTCGAAGTGAAGATGTCTTCACTGCATTGTTCAACTGTTCCCCTTTTTCTGATGCCCGTTTTTATATACTGTTGTATGACTTCATTTCTGTTCGCCTTCTAGATTTGCCATAAACTAAAGTGATACTGTAACGGCAGAAGACAAGGGCCAGGCAATAGATTGTTTATTGAGGAAATCAACAGATATATTTTTATGTACATTATTGTTCGTTATTATTAGCAGAGAAACAGCGTCTTCTGATTGGTTCTTTTCTCTCTAAAAGTTATTCTGTCATCTCCTTGTGACCGTTTCTTTGAAGGTCAAACCATATATCTGCGAATCGTATCCACCCACACTAGGTCTGCTGTGATTGGTAGTTGAGTTCCTCAAGGTTAGGCTTTCGTCTTGTTTTTCCTCATGACAAAGACTTGGGACGTAAACATTGACGTCAATTGTTGTCTATAATTTTATCTTGCAGACATCTCTCACCACAATACTACTTTTGTGTGGTTCTACCTAAATTTACCCGTTCCTCTGTATTTTAAATCTAATAATGATCTGAACAATTCACCTTATATTTCTAAAAAAATGTAGTCACTTATTGTTATATTTTCTTTTTACCTTAAAGGATATAGTGATCCCATATATTCGTGCTATATGTTTAGCTGAAGGATATGATTTAAGTATACAAACTGCTAATTCACTCATCAAGAGTATAAAATCGTCTGAAACAACATCAATTGATCAGTCTACGGAGTATTGTGATCTTCGACGACTTATTAATGAGCTACAATGGTTCGCTGTCAGTTCATCATCATCATCAGTGTGTAAAACACATAATCATATGAAAAATGATGTAAGTGATGCAGCGTTTCTTCTTCTTTTGTATTTTATTTCATGCATTTTTTAAAATTCCTTTACTTTCCTAATGGAACATAGGAGGCTTCAAGCTGGAGGCTTTGAAGTCTCGGTGGCTAGTGGTGTTTGCTTTATTTTTTACGGGATGAGGTTGTTAGCATCATGCTCAACCTTCCCTCTTTACCAGTCTTATTACTGGCTTAGTGAGGTAATGGAGTGCGTCGATGGCCGGGGATCGAACCCAGAACTACATGAGGTGTGTTTGGCGAGCATTGTATCGCTTTACCACCGACTCACATGCATATATTATATTATTAGGTTCATCATACACTTCGTTGACGTCAATTCAGACAACTAACTAACTTGTTGTACCATAGGGCCTCATATATCAAATGATTCATTTATATCATGTCTTATATTTTACGTGTTTTGTGAACTAGGTGATTGTGTATGAGTGAAACTTGATAGAATCCACCGTATCGTTAAAGCAGTACGAAATATGATGGTGTATATGTGTATGAATATTGACCTCCGGATGGTAGACTTTATTAAATCTTTTCTTAACACCTAATCGGTTTGAATTCTCAGTAGATTTCAATCATAAAATGTACTTGATTGATTATAAGTTAATCCAATCAATTAATTACATGTTTTTGTTCTAATCTCTCTCTGTGTGTATGTGTGTGTGTGTGTGTGTGCTGTACGTGTTCTGTTTTCACGTCAACAGATTACTCAAAATAAAACACGTGTTCAGCATTGTGTAGTTGTGAATTTAGCACTGGGAAATTTACTATATTTCTAATTAAAAGAACTTATGCATTTATAAAAGGGTATCTATGATGAAATTGAAATTACTTGTGAAGGTAATACTGTTTGTCGAATTTTGCTCTGGACAGAGTTAGCCACTATATCTTATTTACACTAGCCTCGTTATTTATTGACCGATACGAAGTACTATAAAACTATGTATATTCAATTCAACAGTCAAACCAAGTAATCTGATTTTTTAGGTCTGTTTGGCAATTCGAGGATTATTTTTTCAAGTTGTGGTTTATAGGGATTTGATTGATTGGTTACAGGATTTCATGATGAACTGACGTTGGTTACAGAACCGTTGGAAAATCTGGAAGTACTGGACAGCTGTTTCAGAAGTCCTAGTTTGGGACCCTTCAGCAGTACTCACCCACCACAAGGGTTAGAACCCAGGACCTTCTGGTTACAAGGTGAGCTAGCTCGTAGACCATTGAGCCACTGGGACCCTATCTAATGGCCAGTGCATGAATTCCAACTTCTGCCAATTCACGACATAGCGCGATCACTAGTCAATGTCTTCGGCAAGTATTTGTCTTCATGCTGGACCTGCTAATTTTTTTCATCAGTGATGTAAATCTTCACTCATTCGCATGACTTTGGTGTTTTCCATTTTGATGGGTAAATGCAGAATAAGTCAATGAGTTTCCATGTCAATTAAAGTATAATTATATTTCAATAGTTTACACACAAAGTATTGTATTTTATCTAATCCACAATGCTGAAACTTTTTACTGAGTTTCCATGTCTTCTATATCAACCTGTGTAGTTTTTAAGTGATTAAAAGTACCTTGTAAACTTTTTCAAAAGAATGTTTACTGAACAAAGAATATTCTTTTCGATAACCCCTTCTTCATCATGTTCTACAGTTATGTATGCATAATAATGAAAGGATTAGTGGTATTGACAACAATAATTTTGTTTAAATAACACCGAATCAATAATAGGGATATGAATGGATTACATTTCGATAACATCAACATAACAGTACCCTGAATATTATGAGAGAAATTAGGAAAAATAATAATATAAATTCACAAATTTATAGTCTTCACTGAAGGCCAGCTAGGGCAGTAGTAGTGGTTGAACTTGCTTCTTCTGCACAAAAAGCACTGGTAGTTTCAGGCGAATCACGATAGCCTCTGCTGTTTAAAGTATGTGGTACCTGGATGTTTTTGGCAATTTATCTGATATCCGGTAGATGACAGAGAAGGATTCGTGAATGCTGTCTGGCTTTTGTGGCCGGTTTGGACTAGGCGGTAGACTGTTGTGAGTCATTCAGTTAGATTACCAGTACTGATCAAATGATTATTCTCACTATCCTGTGATAGTGTGGATTCCATGTGTCTCCAATGGCTTAAACACTTAACTTTCAACCGATGAGTCCTGGGGTTCCAATCTTACCCCGCCTACTTCAACCTATGCAACTCGGTAGTAACTGTGATCCTCATGTAATAAGTGTATCTGTCTCATGGCTGGTTCACGAAAAACCTTTTCCGCCTAGCCTACCTGCAACATTACGATCATTCATCAATTTTAAGATTATTCTTCAGGTTCATAACGTCCTACTATTGTGTTCATTCTTTATCAACATCGTACAGTGTGTTGACATTCGGTAGTTAGAAGAGCTGTTATCATGCAAACTATTCTGAATCAAAACAAAACTGATGATTGGGGTTATTTGTTTTAATTTTACATTTGTGTGTGTGCTGATGAGTGCCGACTAGTACGAAACCTAGGTCCAAGGCTTCTTACCGATCGCCTCCAACTATCTAATATTATCAAATTGTGATGGCGAGCTACCTAGAATGATGGCCACATTGTAAAACCTGACTGGTATAATTCAGTCTGCCCCAAAGGAAGCACTAGACACGTCACACTAGTTACTAGTGTCCAATCAAAATACCCACTACAGTCCTACAGGAGGTCAATCGCGAACCCGAATAGCTCAGTGGTAACGTCTCTGACTGCAGAACTCACTGGGTGACGCGGGTTCAAATCTCAGAAAGCACATGATTTCCTTCAAGGTTGCAGATACGCCTTTGTGACTGGTGAGTGCCGACTAGCACGAAACATAGGTCAAGCAAGGCTTCTTCTTAGGCGATTGCCTTCAACTATCTAATATGTGTATTTTGCATTTTCTGTAAATGATATGCATGATAAGCTTTCGGAAGCTTTAGTTTCTTTTCCGCTAGCTTTCTGTAAGCCTCATACATTATATGGTCGAATGTTTAGTATAATACCAAAAATTATTTCGTTTTCATGTGTAGTTTGTATTTTTTTCATCTTTTAGTCATCCATCATGATGGAGTTTCTCCATGATCCGCTAGTTTGGTTTCAAACAATTTGTCCTTCTCTGTCTGGTTTACGTGGACGGAGCAATTCAAGCTTCAAGCCATCGGTGAAATCTAAACTGCCAGTTGGCAACGATTTATACGAGTTATTTACATCAGAAGATGAAGTTAATTGTGAAACTGGGAATCGTAATAATAGTGAACCTATGCCCAGTGTTAGTTTATATCAAAAAATGTTTTAATTAGAGTTGCCTTGCATTATTTATTATTATTATATTTCCCTTGGATTCCTAGTGGAACATAAGGCTTCAACTACACGTCTCCACTTGCCTCTGTCATCTGCTGTATTTTTCACCTGCATCCATGTTAGTCCATACTGTTTCAACTCCTCTTCACACCATATCCTTCACATCACCCTTGAACGTCCAACTCGCCGCTTCCCTTTCGGCCTCGTTCCACTCGAGCAATGGCTTGATGTGCGATATCACCAAGCTGCCTCCTCAGTGGGTGTCCGATCCATTTCCACTTTCTCCTGCATATTTGTTGGTTGGTGATTGGTTCTTGTTTTGTTTGTGCCCATAGCTTCTTGTTGTTGACTGATTCTTTCCGGCCATCTGATCTTCAGTATAGAGCCAGCGAAGACAGCTGTTGGTTGATAAAGGTCTGCAACAGGCTGTTGGAAATATTCTTTGTGACCCACCAGAGAGTTGCCTTGTGTTGAATCTTATTCTCCCAGCCCCTTTGAATTCCGCCATTTTCACACTTAAATTCCAACTGTGACAATGTCTTGATGTAAACATATGCAGTCTAGGTTGTAGTTAATATGGCGGTTTTATTACTTACTCTCTGCACTTTTATTTCACCATTAAAGCTTCTGAAGTCTCTTTATATATTATTCGTTGTTGATTTACAAGCATAAGTAAAAAGTTTTAGCTCACTAAAACAAAACAAAGCGAAGAGTCTATGACGCCTGTGAGGGATTCATATACATTTCCCTCTTTAAAATCTACTTACTAAAAGCTGTCATGCTGAACATTTCCTTTTTTTCTGTTTGGAACACTTTTCTGATTGTTCCCAATTTGTTCTCAACGTGTTTATTGAATATGACTCAGATAAGCTTAAACAAACTTCGAAGAATGCTAATAAATTGTTTATTTTCTGTCTTCCTACTCTCAACAAAGAAAGTAGTCAATAAGTCATTAGTGTGTATATTGCTGTATGTATGAAAAGAAAGTCAACAGAAATAATTTAGTGAAGGTGATCAAATTTTCAAGGATAAAGAGTTAATTCATTTGCACCACTGTGATGTTCCGTTTTATGTCATGTCTCCAATAGCAACTTATGCATTCTTATACAATTTAGATTATTATTATTATTATTACTCCCTTGCGTTCCTAGTGGAACATAGGGCTTCAGTAACACATCTCCAATTTGTTCTGTTTTCTTCTGTCGTCTTCATCTGAGTCCACAATTGCCCAAACTCTCTCATCTCTCCCTCACACGATCTCCTCTATGTCACCCTTGCACCTACTAACCACTCGTCACTTCCCATTTGGATTTCACTAGAGGGCCCAGCGTGTGATGTCATTCGGAGGCCTCCTCAATGTATGCCAAGTCCATTTCCACTTTCTCCTAAATATTTGTTGAGCGATCGGCTCTCGCTTGTTGGTTTTTTACCATAATTTCTTGTTGCTTATTCTTTCTGGTTAGCCGGTCATTTGATCTTCAGTATGGAGCGAGCGAAGGCAACTATTGATGAAAATCTTTAACCTATTGGAAACCCTTTTCGTGACACGCACTGCAAGTTTCTGACCCCTATAGAAGAACCGATTTCACATTAGCGTTGGAAGTGCAAATCTTGTTCCTTATGCTGAGTGACAGTGGAAGATTTCCAAACTGATTTCAGGTTTATGAAGGTGCACAATTTAGATTAACAATTAGAAACTTCAGTGATTGAGATTATATTTCATTGTGGTGACCTTTAACGTTTTTGGAACTCATTCATATTTCAGTTAATGTTGTGGTTTAGGTCACGTAACAAATACCTCATAAATTTGCCTTCCCTACTCCCTACATGGTCGTATTATTCATGAGCGATACGAAAAAGGCAAATATGAAGACACCCAATTTCATCAATTCCTATTTATCGTCACAGAGTAAGGCGAATCAGAGACACAATCTATAGCTCAGATCGGTAACTATCACTTCGATATTTTGTATCTGTGGTAAGATTATCTCAGTAACTACTGCATTGAGTGGGATTGGGGTTTGGGTAAGTGTGATACAAACTCCAAAAATGTTTGAAGTGGTCAGTGATACCATGCTTTTAATTTCTTACCGTTTAACTAAAGCGTTGATGCAATCAATATCACTTCAACAACTAACAGTTATCTGCAGCAGTGTTAGGGTCATCCAAAATTTTCGGTGAATATACACAGCTTAAGTCAGAGATAATTCTAGTTTTTAAATACTAGAGTTCTTGGTTGGTGACATGGCTCAAAATCATTCTCAATGGCTGGTGTAGATGCATCTACTCCTTGTGACTTATGATTTCCAATGAAACTGTTTTGTTCTTCGTTATTACTATTCCTTTGTCTCACTCCTCGGATTACTGTCTCTAATATGCATTTCTTCTACTTTCTTATCTTGCTTCGTGTGCTACAAGGAGGGAGTGTGGCGACTTGAACTGCCGCACATATGTGCAAAGTTCTACGTCAAAAATAGACAGACAGACAGACCTAGTTTGGGACTCTTCATCAGTACTCATTCACCTTGTTTCGAACCCAGGACCTTCTGGTTACAAGGCTAGCGAGCTCGTAGGCCACTGAGCCACTGGGACCCGATCCAACTGTCCTTGAATTCTAACAGCAAGTTGAAGATGAGGCAGTAACTCATCGAAGAAGACATTGCAAAATTGTCGCACTATGTCGTGAATTGGCAGAAGTTGGAATTCATGAACTGGCCATTGGATAGGGTCCCAGTGGCTCAATGTTCTACGAGCTCGCTAGCCTTGTCACCAGAAGGTCCTGGGTTCTAACCCTTGTGGTGGATGAGTACTGCTGAAGGGTCCCAAACTAGGACTGCTGAAACAGCTGTCCAGTACTCCCAGGTGGTTTTCCAGTGGTTCTCTAACTGATGTCAGCTCATGATGAAATCCTCCATTCCGTCGAACAACTCTAAACATCATTTTTTTAGGTATCTCTGTTCAGATTACGTCTGTCATCAGCTTACACTACCTTTTGTGTCAGGGGAATCACTAATCACCGCTGCTTTTTTTAAATCTTATTGGTAAAGGAGGCGAGATGCTGTCTGCCTCCCTCTCTCTCTCTCAACATATATATATATATATATATATATATATATATATATGCATGCTAAGATGTAACTTCTGGTCATTACCTTTTAATTTTTGAATTAAAAGTTTGTGAGTCGATTTTACTGGTTTCATCCTCTTACTATAGACGTGTGTGTGTTTACATCGATATTGAGTTATTACTCATTCGTTTAAGCACTCGGTTTCCAGTCAATAGTAGTAGGTTTTGGAGTTCGGGTCTCAATCCACATACTTCAAACTAAACAGTTGTTGGGTAGTATCATCAGTCTTCATACACAATAAGTGTTTGTTTGTTTTAGCCTGAAACACCCAAAAGATCTGATCCGGATAACTGAGTTCATACAAAATCATACGCAAACATATTGGGCAATATCTTTATTTATTTATTTTTGCCGATGAATGTCCGTGGTAATGATGAAATAACCGAAATGTGTGGTGTTAGTATTTCTTGATAACTGTCATTTTTATTGATTATTATTCCCTTGGCTTCTAAGTGGGACATAGGACTTCAGCTACACATTTATAATTTCCGATGAAAATATTGTTCTTCGTTATTACTATTCCTGTTGTCTCATATCCCTGTCTACTGTCTCTGTTATGCATTTCTTCTACTTTCTTCTCTTGCTTTGTGTGCTACATGGAGTGTGGTGACTTCAACTGCTGCACATTTGTGCCAAGTTCTATGTTGAAAACAGACAGACGGACAGATAGCAACACATTTTAATTTCATCTTTTTCTCTGTAGTCTTCTTCAGATGTCTCTACAATTCTCCATGAACTTTAATTTCCTCGTCACACTGTCTCCTCCATGTCGCCCTCAGACCCCCTACTCACAGAGTGAAGTGAAGGTGCCTCACTAATTTGAAGAATAGTACTAACTGTAGTAGGGGAATAAGATAATGAAGGTGATGTGGGTAGACGAGAATGATGCTCAGGAAGGCTTCGTGTGCTTTTGGAAGTGTGTGGGGCGGTTGTTACTTCCCGGCTGGCCACACCGTGGAAGTTGATTGATTCTTGGAGTACCTGAAACAGAGGGAAGGTTAGTGTTGCGTGACCGCAGACCCCAGGGGACAACTGCTTGAGGCCAGCTGGTCACGCATGGCCTGTATGAACTGGTTTGTTGGTTTGGTTCCGTATTAGTAAACTTACCGCCTGTTACAGACCATCGTAGGGTTAAGTCGGGATGTACAATTTTCGGGGTCATCCTTTTCTAATCCCCTCTCTCCAGAGTGGAGAGACAGCATAGCTGGCATGCTGGTCATCTGAGGGAAACACCTTACTGATGTTACTTCCCTGTTTTCCAGCAGTACGACTTCGCCCTCAGACCCCCAGCATAGTGTAAGAAAGATTCTTACACAATGCTGATAACTGCTTTTAGTCTAATCACTATCGTAACAACCTTCCTGGCATGGTGGGACCTGCAGAAACATTGGTTCCAGCCAGTGTAGCTTGTTGGGTCATCGCGATATGCAAGCCAGACCACCACGTCAAGGTTACCAGCTATCGGTCGAGAGACCGACACTCAATTCATCATTTTCTCATTCAAATTTCACTCGAGGGTCAGTTTGAAGCGCGGTGTCACTCAACTGTCTTCTCAGTGTATGTCTGATTCTTCTCCATTTTCTTCAGCATATGTGTCAGACAATGTCTTCTTGTTTGATTCGTCGCACTACAGCGTTCCTTGTCGCTCATCCCTTCTGACTATCTGATCTTCAGTATGGAAGCAGCAAAGACAACTGGTGATGAAAGTGTCCAACACACTGTTGGAAATGCTCTTGATGACACTCCAACTGTCTGTACCATACAGAAGAATTGACTGACTATTGACATTGGTGTGTTGGAAATCCGGATTTTGTTGTTTATGCTGAGTGCAGAGGATAATCACAGTGATTTCAGAGTAATAATAATAGTCTGTCATAGTCTCAGTTTTAATAATTCTGTTTTTTTTCTTCTTACTTCATTGCTTATTAGAATGTTGAAAATGTTGGTGAAAACACTATCGGAACAAGTAATGAAGCGGATATAAAAGACAACAAAGAGAATTCCCTGTTGATTGATTGTACTTTAAAAGCATTAAAAGAGATGAGTGATAATCTTTCCTTCTGGGATATTTGTCAGTCAAGTGTAAATCGAGCCGGTTTATCGTCAATTGTTGATTCGCTCAGCCAGATAATTGAAGTAAAAAATACACTTGAAATAAACGACAACACTGGTAATAATAACACTTCACCAGTCAATATCGATTCATCTACTACTACTATTACTACTACTACTGGTGTCAATTCAAGGCCTGCTACTAATTCTGGTTATGTAAAGGGTGTGATTAACTTGCCTAGTGAACATTTTCAGCCAATTATTCCATTCGATATTGTTAATGATGAATTTTTCAATGTTTGCTGGATACAATATATACTTAATGAAAGTCAGGATAATCTTAAAAATATTGAAAATAAATTGAACATTACAAATCCTTCTTGTATCAGTAATCCACTCAACGGGAAGATCATTTCAAGATCGCTTGATTCGTAAGTGTTATCTTACTGAATTTTTTTTAAACAAACTTATATTTTCAGTAATAATACTTGTGTAACAACAGAAGACAAGGGCCAGGCAACAGATCGTTTATTAAGGAAATCAACACGTATTTATATATATTTCATGTACATTATTATAGCTTATTGTTATGTACTCGTCGCTAAGTTATTGTTATGGGCTGGTCGGGAAATTAATAGTCCTGACGAAAGAAGGCGGAAATCAGAAGACCACTAGGTTTGCGATGATACTTCTATTGTCCAAACACAAGGAGACGAAAATAAATGGTCTCACACCAAAGTGGTAAGTAAGTAAAGTAAAGTCACAAGATTGTGAATGCGAAATATATATGAATGTTCCAGACAAAGCGTGGGAAAAATCATTAGACAGTCTTAACATGAATGGCTAATTATAATGGAGTGTCGATCCAAATATACATAGCGAATATAGCAGACATGCCAACAAACATATATGGATATATGTCACCAAGCAACGGACTGTCAACAAACACTCATATTATATATAATATAATTAATATAAGGAGAATATACATTATTAAAGGAGACAAGTCCATACAAGTGAAGTGGTCACAGACTAACCGAGCAAACAGAAAGAGAGACCAACATGCACACACACACATAAATATATATATGTGGATACATATCACCTCCCCTTTTGAGAAGATGGATGATTAGTAGGATGTTTACCTGGGGGTTTATCTGGGACCTTTGGGCTTGTTGTTGACGCCTGTCGTTTCGTCTGATTGTTGGGTTTGCGGCTTCGGCTTCGTCCGGAATTGTCTACATTTTATGCTTCTTGACTGCATTGCATAGAGAATTTAGTGGGACATCAGCCAGATGCAAACGATCGAACCAATCAAGTCCCAAAAGATTTAAATCACTCTTGGTGACGTAGCAAATTCCTGTGAATTTGGTATTGCGGAAGGAAACAGAACATTTGAGTTCACCAATTAGTTTGAGCCGCCCACCACAGGCGCTGACAAGAGACTGGGAAGTATTGGTGATAGGTGGTCTGCCAATATCATTCCAAAGTTTCTCTGATATAACAGTAATATCAGAGGCGGTATCTAGCTGCAGACGTGTATCATGACCATTCATCTGAAGATCAAGATATTTCCGCATACCTGGTGTTGTGACTTGACAGGTTGCACGTAGACTCAGTGATCTTTTTGGGATTTAGGACCAACATTTTGTTGAGCTTTTGCTGGATTTTGACATCTGGGTTTGCGTGGCTGACAAAAACCATTTTTATGACCGATGATTTTGCACTTGCTGCAACGATGATTTTTGTATGGACAAGACTTTACAAAGTGCCACGCGCCACAATGCCAGCATGGTGATGGAGGGGTCTTCTTTGCAGTATTTTGTGAAGTTGGACGAGTATCTGTAGATTTCCGCGGAACATTAGAAGAAGGTGGGTCAGGAGTGGATGATGAGAGATTTTTGCTCTTTCGTAATGCACGAATATCAGAGCTTCTCGAAGGTGTTGATTCGACCAGGTGTGTGTCTTTCTGCAGATTAATCAGCCGTTGATATTCATCAGCTATGTCATGTAATGTTAACTTGGGATTTTGTTCTAGCTGATTGAGCAGTCGAGTTCGGATATCTGTGAAACGAGGAGATTGGAGACTGCATATGAGGATCAAGGCTTTGAATTGATCATCTGTTAAGGACCTGAGTCGAAATCTCTCACATTCTCGGTTGACTGTGCCAACGTGAGTAAGAAAATCATCATTTTCATTCATTGTCAGCTTGAGGCAACGATAACGTATGCTGAATAATGAGGAGTGGTCTCCAAAATGTTCACGCAGCAGCTTTATTGTATCATCGAAACACTTGTCACGTGGTTTCTGGGGTAAAATTAGGTTGCAGTACCGTTCATATTCTGCCGGACCCAATTTACGTAACAGCACTCGCACCTTCCAGGCATCGTCTTGTGAGGCGAGATCAACAGTGAATAAATCCTCATAACGTTGATACCATGTGTCAAAAGTGACATTAGCCTCTGGGTCATAATTGAACTGTGAAATACTGTTCACAATGCCGTCGACAGATGGTAGCATGGTATGATTGGGATTGCTTGAAGGTGAAGCTGGACCAGTCTGTTGGTTGACGAACATTTCCATTAATTTCATTTGTCGTTCAAACAATAATTCCAATTTAGAAGGATCCATAGTAAATTGTTATGTTGCTGCTGCTGAGTTGTTAATAGTAGTTTTCCCCGTCGCCAAATTGTTATGTACTCGTCGCTAATTATTGTTATGGACTGGTCGAGAAACTAATAGTCCTGACGAAAGAAGGCGGAAATCAGAAGACCACTAGGTTTGCGATGATACTTTTATTGTCCAAACACAAGGAGACGAAAATAAATGGTCTCACACCAAAGTGGTAAGTAAGTAAAGTAAAGTCACAAGACTTATTCAAGCAAACAAACACTCTTCTGATTTCAGGATTTCATCATGAGCTGACATTAGTTAGAGAACCATGGTTCTCCAACTAATGTCAGCTCATGATGAAATCCTGAAACCAATCAAATCCCTACAAACCAACACTTGAATACTCTTCTGATTGGTTGTTTCTCCCAGACAGTTGACCTTGCATCTCTGTGTGGCTGTTTCTTGAATGTCAGATCATCTAAATGTTAACTGTATCCGCCTACGCACAGTCTGCTGTGATTGGTTGTTGAATCATTCTTGTTCATATTTTCTCACGACCAATATTTGCGACATTAACATTGACATAAATTAATGTCTACTGATTGGCTAGCAGCCTGCTCTCACTACACTTGTGTTGAAATTAATTTTGATAAAATAGTCATCCCTACTCAGATTAGTTGAATGTAGCACATGGTATGTAGCGCTCTGCTCATGATTTTCCTTATAATATTTAGCGTGACAATATTTACTGCCCAAAGAGTCGATAGGTAATACCTCCGTAAAATAATCATAAAGTTTTAATGTAGAACTTTACACAAATGTACAGCGATTCGAGTTGCCATACTCCCATGTAGCACACAAAACAAGAGAACAAAGTAAAAAGAAATGCAAAACAGAGACAGTAAACAGAGATATAAGGCAAAAAGAATAGTAATATGTAAGAACAAAAAGATTTTATTGGATACTGTAAGTCACAAGGAGTGGATGCATCTGCACTAGCCATTGAGGACGATTTTGAATCATATCACTACCATTTGTCTCCAGCCTTCATTGGTTTTTTACAGTCTCGAGGACCCCAACCAAGAAGCCAGTCTTCACCTTCATACATGGCTGGGTCAAACTAACTGTTGTGGATTTAATTGACTGATCATCACTAACTCTTTTCCACCCTGACCCATCCTATGTCAGCTAACATAGCCCATCAAGGAAGGCAATGGATAAGCATATGTAACACATGTCCTAACTTTCACAAGTTCGTCGAATGATTTCCTCTCCTTACCTAGCACTCGATCGATGCCTAACCTCAATATTGCTCACCTTATTATACCACTTAACATGGGCGATAGGTCGGAGACACCTATGATCAAAAGCAGTTAGTCCTTTGGTATTTTCCACTTTCAGTTGCCTGGTCTCGCAGCCGTAAAGTATTCATAGGATTGCTAACCACTTGGTAGTAGTTCCGTTATGTAGTTGCGTAATACTCGACATTTAGTTACAGTTTTTTTCGTCTGTTTTATTCTTTGTATTCTCCAATTATCTTAGAAGTAAATATCTGTCTCCCGGGTAAAATCATAAAATTAGTATTATTAGTACTGTTATTCATTCTTTGCGTTCCGAGTGAAAAGTAGGATTTCAGCGGTACTTCTCCACTGCATTTGGTTTTAAACAGTCACTTTCAGCTAGTTCCACTACTGCCCAGAGTTTTTGATTTCCTGTTCATATAGTCCCCTGCTTGCCACCATTGAACACCCAACTCGTTGTTCGGTGTTAGGGTTTCATTCGAAGATATATGACGTCACACTTGGATGCCTTGTCAGTATACAACTACACGATCACATTCTACTGTTACGGCTTACTGTTGTTGTTGGACTCTTTTAGTAATTAAGTAATTTTGGGACAAGTTAATTCCTATGGTATTCATGATGACATCTTTTCTGGAAATGATTGGGGAGATTTTCAACTCTGGTGGAAGATATTGGTGTAGCTGTTTTTTCTGAGTCCAATGGTTTAACTGCGTCCATAAGTTTCTTACCCATGATCATGGATAGATAATACTCTGAAACAATAGTCAGTAGACCAGTCTGTGAAGTACTTTGCCTAAATCTGTACTGAGTCTTCGTGGGGACCACTATGTTAGGCATGAAGTAAATGATACTCAGAGATGGTATTGGTCGGGTATGGTACCATATGTGTTGAATTGAAAAAATGTTAGGATTCACGGGTTATTGGATTTTAATTCAATAGCAGAGTAATCAACTGGTTCAACTCGTAACCTGAAGGTGACGGTTCGTGATGAAATCCACGCCGAAATCAATAAAAAATTATTCAGATATACTTCCACTTTCAGTTTGGCATGCGACTCGCTCCCACCAAATGTAAGATGATGCTACAGGACTGGACTACATTGATTCCTAGCTTGAAGGTAGGGAGTGAAATGGTAAAGCGCGTTGACCACTTCACTTATTTGGAAAGTTGCATCAACCTGTGCCAACAGGTTGATCACTGACAAAATCTCAACGCGGATACAGAAAACTAGTTTCGCATATCCCAGTTTACGTCGTCTCTGGCGTAGGCGTGATATCCAGATATCGACGAAAAGACGTGTGTACTGCTCAACAGTCCTCTCCGTCCTCCTTTATGGCTGTGAGACCTGATCATCAGTCAATAAAATCCACAACAGTTAGTTTGAGATGGCCACGTATGGAGGTGAGGACTGGCTTTCTCAATGGGGTCCTCGAGAGTGTAAAAAACCAATGAAGGCTGGAGACGATTGGTGGAGATATGGATCGAAATTGTTCTCAATAGTTAGTGGAGATGCGTCCACTCCTTGTGACTCACAATATACAATGAAATTCTACTTTTCTTACATATTGCTATTCTTCATGCTTCATATCTCTGTTTACTGTCTCTGTTCTGCATTTCTTTTTAATTTCTTCACTTGCTTTCCACATGGAGGGGGCATAGCAACTCGAATTGTTGCACATTTGTGCCAAGTTCTACGTTGAAACCAGTCAGTCAGTCAGAACCTTTTTTCAGGTGTTGGTTTGCAGGGATTTGATTGGTTTCTGGATTTCACCATGCTCTGGCATCGGTTAAAAATCCACTGGAATATCGAGTTTGAACCTTGGTGGGTGCGTATTGATGAAGTGTCTCTATTTAGGATGAAGCAGACATCCAGTACTCCCTGCAGTTTTTCCAATAATTCTTTAACTAATGTCAGCTCATAATCAAATCCTAAGCCTTTTTTGTCGGCTAGTTAGAAAAACCTAATCACTAGATACTCACGTTGATACAAATAATTCTACACATTGTATGCATTAAAAAAAAAAATAAACCAAACTATTACTTGTTTTCACCTGTTGCAATTGAAACTTTCATAAAACATACTTTGAGTTCAAGTTACGAAAACTATGAATAAAGTTGTGTATCTATCAGCGGAAAATGTGTAATATGATAAATTATAAATTTCATAAATTTTTGGCATACATTTTTTTTTATTTCTTACTCTCATGTTCTCACCTAGAAGTCAAACAGTGTCATTGGCAAAATGTATATCTGACTTGAATCGTTGCGGAATCGGTGGAAATCGTCATGATCAGATGAAAACAACAGTGTGTGATTACCTACCAATGTTGCATATATTAGCATCTGGCGAATGTTCTAAGCAAGTTGTCTCCACCAAAAGACGGTATGTGTATGACAATAAACAATTATATATATATATATATATATATATATATATATACATATATATATATATATATAGTGTCTACATCAGTGATATAATCCTTATATGTATACAGTATAATAGAACTGACGTGAATTCGTTATGCAACTGTCGGTCTAGTCATCAAGTCTCCAAACCATTACACCATAATGCTATTTCGAAAGTGTAGATTTTAGAATCGATATCATTAGTTGAGAATGCGGACCGAACTTTTAACTTAAATGTTGTTAGCTGACGGTTCGAGTCTCATTCTACCTACTTAAACTTGTTAGTTTTTGAAATATTTTTCGTGTATGACAAGGTTTCATGATTGGGGTTATTATCTAGCTTGAATTTGAAATGGCTCTCAACAGTTTTGTTTTTTGAAAGCTGTTCCTTAAATATTACTTGCTTAGAGAAGAATTTAAGAAGAATTAAAGAAGAATACTCGCTTAGAGAAGAAGAGAAGGCGATTCTACGACAATCTGGCCACTGAAGCTGAGAAGGCAGCAGGCAAAAGGGACCTGAGGACATTATATCAGACAACCAAGTCTCTATCCGGAAAGAGATCAACACACGCGAAACCTATAAAAGACAGCCAAGGGAACCCAATCACCAAGAAAGAAAAACACATTAAACAATGGGCGGATCACTTCAAAGGACTCTTGAGCCGACCACCACCTGCAATCCGTCCAGAAATACCAACAACAGCACGTACACAACTGCAAGTTGACACCAGTCCTCCAACGAGAGCTGAAGTCTTGAATGCAATCAAGCTTCTGAAAGCTGGAAAAGCAGCTGGACCAGACGGAATACCCCCTGAAGCACTGAAAGCGGACCCAGAGACTACAGCACACATGCTGACTCACTCCATTATTGCAAAAGGTCTGGAAGGAGGGAAAGGTGCCTACTGACTGGAACAAAGGTTACCTCGTGAAACTAGCGAAGAAGGGTGACTTAGGCTCCGCTCTGCAAGAACTGGGGAGGAATCATCCTCCTGTCGACGCCAAGTAAAATTCTGAGTCGCATCATCCTGGAGAGAATAAAGGACACACTGAATACAGAACTCCGACCAGAACAAGCTGGATTCAGGAAAGGCAAATCATGTACTGACCAAGTTGCAACTCTACTCATCATCATCGAACAAAGCATGGAATGGCAATCAAACCTCTACCTCAACTTTATAGACTTTGAGAAGACCTTCGACAGCGTTGACCATGAAGTAATTTGGAAACTATTCGAGTACTATGGCGTACCCCAAATATTCATCAACCTCATTCAACAGCTGTACGACAACGGCACATGTCAAGTGATCCACAACGGAAAACTCAGCGAGGCGTTTGGATTAAACACAGATGTCAGACAAGGGTGCTTATTATCACCAATGATATCCCTAATTGTGGTGGACTGGATCATGCGTCAAACAGTGGTAAACAAGAAGACAGGGATATCCTGGACCGACGCGAAAAACCTAGAAGACCTGGATTCCGCGCGTGGATGATTTATGCTTGATGTCACAAAAATCGAAGACTTACAAGCGAAAACCGACCGATAAACTGGTCGAAGAAGCAGATAGTGAAGACAGGACTCAAGGTGAACATAGACAAGATGGAGGTTATGAAAATAACCAGCCAAACAACAACAACAGCAGCAACATCCAGCGCCAATCACCATCAATGGGAGGGATTTGAAAGAGGTTACTTCATTCACTCACTCATCTAGGGAGCATTGTCTCAACTACAGGCAGTTGGAACGGACGAGGATGTCAAATCGAGCGAGAATCGGGAAAGCGAGCGAGAAACACATTCATCAACCTGAAACCAATCTGGAAATCCTCGTCACTCAGCCAGCATCAACAACAAAATTCAGTCGGATTTTCAATACAAACACGTCAAGTCAGTCAATTCTTCTATACGGATCAGAAACTTGGTGGGCGGGTCACAAAGAATATTTCCAACAGCCTGTTGCAGACCTTTATCAACCAACAACTGTCTTCGCTGGCTCTACACTGAAGATCAGATGGCCGAAAATAATCGGTCAACAACAAGAAGCTATGGGCACAAACAAAACAAAACCAATCACCAACCAACAAATATGCAGGAGAAAGTGGAGATGTATCGGACACCCGCTGAGGAGACCACTCGGTGACATCGCGCGTCAAGCCCTCGAGTGGAACCAAGCCGAAATGGAGGCGGCGAGTGGGACGTTCAAGGGTGATGTGAAGGAGATGGTGTGAAGAGGAGGTGAAACAGTATGGACTAACATGGATGCAGGTGAAACGTACAGCATAAGACAGAAGCAAGCGAAGACGTGCAGTTGAAGCCCTATGTTCCACTAGGAACCCAAGGGAGCAATAATAAAAAAATAATAATAAGAGAAGAATTCGCAATCAAGATTCACATTCTGAGGTACATATATTACTCAATATTGAATTATATAAGATTTGATTGGTTGAAGGATTTTATCATGAGCTGATATCAGTTGCAGAACCATTGGAAAACCAGCTGGGAGTACAGGACAGCTGTGTCGTCAGCCTAGTTTGGGACTCTTCAAAAGTACGCACCCTCCACAGGACGTTCGAACCCAAGACCTTCTTGTTACAAGGTGATCTAGCTCGTAGACCATTAAGTCATTGGGACCTGATCCAATGGCCAGCCATATGAATTCTAACTTCTGCCAATTCACTACATAGCGCTAATGGTTGAAATTGTGATTAGCATAGCAATTACTCAAATATTTGAGTGCTTTGATTCCTTGCCAAACTGAAAATGGAACTGAATTTTCAATGCATAACTTTGCACCGAATGTACCAACTCAACTTGACTCACTTCATAAAAGCCTATATAAGATAGAGAAAAGCAATGAATTGCAACTACGATAAATATAATTGTGAAGAAGAAAGAATAATTATTTGAAAAATAATGAAGATAAAATGAAAGAGTGAATGTGGTTGTGTTCCAGTGAGAGGTTGAACGATTTTCACAGCATATCACCAACAGTCTCTAACCTTTGATCTTTAGCGCCTCAGGGTATTTCACGGATCAGTGTCACGTTCTAGTTTAACCCATTTCCTAACTATTTCCCAATCTAATCTTACATCAGTTAATATTACTTACCGAGGAAGGCGATGATTTAGCATACGTAACACATGTAAATGTATAATAGCCATCTCAGTCGGTTTGCCTTCATAACCTCTTCAGTTGACTTCATATCCTTCTAAACACAACCGTGAGGAAAACACGAGGTGAACTACTACTGCACAATGTATTTGTCTTTTGATGGATAACTGGATATCACATTTGAGTTAAAGAATGCTACAAGTTGACAAGTGCTAAATTAGCCTCTTTTTTGTCCCTACTGATATTTCGTCAGGCATCTATTAATTCATGCTAATACAACTTCCTCAATTAGTGAAGTTTTGTGATACGCTCAGCTATTTCACTGCCTATCCATAAACAGGACCCTGTGCAAACCTGCCCACCATCATCATCGTCTTACATTTGACCAGATAGAGTCGTAGTAGGAAGATTTCTGTTCAAGGTATTCAGAAGACTGCATCTATTCCAGTGTCCTTACCTAGAAAAACTTTATAATCTCCATACTCAGGACCGATGAGATGCTTCCCCAGACACCAAAGATGACCATAGGATCACCTCCATTAGTACCTCTATATAATGGGAAGGAGGATAGTGAAGTTTATCAGTACACTGTTGACCAGAATACTAATAAGGATAAAGACATATATGTAATAATAATAATAATAATAATAATTTATTTTTTTCCAAAACAGTATTAATGTTACGGTATGGAATTTTCAGTGTCTAGTACATTATTGGATCTGATTTTATCGATTATTATTCAAAACAATTACAAAGATAACATTGCAGGATTGCTAATGACGGTTCTTATATGGTATTTGTAGTGACAGTATATATATATATATATAAAATTGTAAATAATAATGTTAGTAGCTAAGAGTGTTAGTTAATTTAGGTAGTGTCACCATAGATTACAAATAGGAGATAATAAAAGGGCCAATTTAGTCAGCTGACAACATAGTAATTCATAAGTTTCACGCTTTACATAGTCTCTATCGTACAGATCACAAGCCAAATATGATATCGTTGAGTCCCCACACTTGGTAGTACGAGCATATACTGTTTTGTATTGACTTCTGGTTCTACCAGATGAGATAAAAGGACAGAGTTGAGCATAAAGGGAGTGTTGAGGGTCAAAAATGTAGATTTATATCATTTCTCGCAGGAGTTCTGATGTCTGTCAACTAATGTAGTGACAAGCTGACTAAGTTTTACACCACTCGCTCTGCTAACAACTTTCAATACGCATCTCAAAATGACATAGTCCTTTTTCAGGAGACCAGGAAAGACTAAGAGGTAGTAATAAAGTACACGAGGTAACAAATTGTAAAAGCCGAGGTTGAGTGATTCCAGATAGTTTTGGCTTCATAATGTTGTAGTAGTCTAGACGGGATATTTTCTTGGAGATCGGTGGAATATAGGATGACTATGTAGGGTCAGAGGATAAAAATATGCCAAGGTATTTTGTTTTAGACCTAGTTTCTATTACAGTCTCGTCTATGCCACGAGCGTCATGTGAATTCACCAGTCGTTGTAGATCACTTTTATGTCTAAAGGAGAAGTCAATATTCTGGTATTTTAAGGGATTTAACGTAAGAGCATTTAGTTTAGATCACCGACTGGCGTCCGACAAAAAACTACACTTTTTGATATTTATTAAGTAAACGAAAAGTTGGTTTACTTTACAGTAAATATGCCCAGGAAAAATACATCTTCTTGTATATACCCTATCAGCTGTAAAAATCTAGCGGGAATGTTTTACGCATGATGCTATATACTACTGATTGGTTGGCATGAGTGGTAGTAGCAGCTGGATTCCCAATCCCACCAACCGCTACTGCTATTTGTTAGTTAGTATTAATTATTTCATCATTTTAAAAGTTTTTAAGCATACCAGTTTGTAATGTTTGTCACAGTCTTCCACAGAGTGAGTAATCAGTATTTTTGCTTGTATCATCCCATCATCTAGCTTTCTGCATTATTTCGATCGAATTTCACTCTTTCTTCATCCATCTACTCGTGAATTTTTGGCGAAATTTCATTTCTCATAATCTACGCATCTTTCTGAAGCGGTTATTTAATGAGTGTTTCATCATTATAAATTAGTGTACAGAATTCTTTGTGTTATTTCTGTTTATACAGTGATATATATATATATATATATATATATATATATATATATATATATATTTGTATATGCGTGTGTGTGTGTTTGTGTATTTGTGGACGTACAAATCTCATGCATATGTTGACTTTAAAACAAATCTACTTGTATGCATTGATGTATCTCTTTTAGAGAGATTTATTTATGAACACTTATAATGAGTACTTTTCATAAGAATGATCTCTATTCATTTTGTTAGTCAATTAATTAATTTATTAATTTATTATTATCATTATTATTATGACCAAATATCTATGTGAATGTTCACATTTCTTTTGTATGCAAATATGTATATGACTTTATTTTGTATGTATATTTTATGCAGAAAGAATAATGTTGTATAAGATTATTATTATTACAAAATGTACTGAAACATTCCAGGGAATTAGGCGAATCCACTCTACACCGAGGCTAAGAATCTTATTAGGCTAATTCTAAGTTTTCAAGTATGAGTTTTGTAGGGATTTTTGTTTGATTGCATGGAGGATTTCATTATGAGCTGATATCAGTTAAAGAACCACTTGAAAACCAGTACTGGACAGCTGTTTTATCCTAGTCTGGGACTGCTGAAGAGTCCCAAACTAGGCTGACGAAACAGCTGTCCAGTAATCCCAGTTGGTTTTCCAGTTGTTCTCTAACTGATATCAGCTCATAATGAAATCCTTTATGTAATTCTAAGTTGTTGAATTCACATATCATCAAGTCGAAATGTTACTATGATATGTATAGTCCTTTGTTCATAATTCTAAGAAACAAGTTGTATTTAGAATTTGGAGACAATCGTGTCAACCTTCTACTCAATTTAGATTATATTATTGATATAAGTATAAAACTTGAGGGCACTGTGGTAGTACAGTATAACTCCATTATGGATAAGTCACACAGTGCTGTTATACAGTAATATTAACTGATGACCATGTTTTGAGCACAAACTATTGCTACTCATAATCATATCAGGTCACTACTCACACAACTTTTTTCCTTCATTTATATACATTTGTGGAAGTGACTAGATATTTGAATAAAAATCAAGGTGGGATAATGTACATTCAGAAATAATATTATGAGTGTTATTTGATCAATTACAATTAGATGGGAAATAAGACGAGTGTTTTTATAGTCATAATAAGCTACTTGTTAGAAAGTCATGATGTGCCTGAATTGAAATAGAATTTAAGGATTATTTATTATCCTCCTTTGATTTGACTGGCGGTAATAATATCTTCCATATTTCTGCTATTTGCATTGAGTTATTTCTGTTGCATGTGTTGGGTATAGACTCGATGAACGAGGATTCAGTAATCAATCTCTCTCTCCCTCCACCTACCTACATTACTCTTTAGAATTTCGACTCCCAACCACCTGGCGTAGACGAGATGTTCGACCAAAGGGCGGATGTACTGCTCATCAGTCCGCTCCGTCCTCCTTTATGGCTGGCTGTGAGACCTGGCCACTGAGAGTGGAAGACATGAAAAGACTAGCTGTCTTTGATCATAGGTGCCTGCGCTCTATTTCCCGTGTAAAGTGGCATAATAAGATGAGCAACATTGAAGTTAGGCGTCGAGTTCTAGGTAAACAGGGGAAATCAATCGACGAAGTCGTGAAGCTACAGAGACTGAGATGGTTAGGACATGTGTTACGTATGCCAAGCCATCGCCTCCCTTGACGAGCAATGTTAGCGGATATAGGGTCAGGCTGGAAAAAAGCTAGCGGAGGTCAAACAAAAACTTGGCACCAGTCAATGAAATCCACAACAGTTAGTCTAAGCCACGTAGGAAGGTGTAGACTTCCAGGCTGGGGTCCTCGGGGCGGTAAAAACCAGTGGTTGGAAACAATTGGTGACATGGCTCAAAATCGTTCTCAATGGCTGGCGTAAATGCATCCACTCCTTGTGACTTATGATCTCCAATGAAACTGTTTTGTTCTTCGTTATTACTCCTTTGTCTCACACCTCTGCTCACTGTTTCTATTATGCTTTTCTTGTACTCTCTTCTCTTGCTTTGCGTGCTACACGGAGTGTGGTGACTTGAACTGGTGCACATTTGTACAAAGTTCAATGTCGAAAACAGACAGACAACCACCTTATTGTGTGGCTGTGTGTTAACGCATGTAGTGCAAATTGCTGAGTTTTTTTCTGAATTACTGATCTTTTTGGGGTCAACCATTCTTACCTTAGATAAATTCTTATGTTCTGATAATCTGACTATCTCTGAACTACTAGTTTGACCTATGTAGTTGACCTCACATCACAACATTCTAACAAGTTACTTATTATGACTATAAAAACACTCGTCTTATTTCCCATCTGATTATATTTGATCAATAACGTTATTATTATTATATTATTATTTCCGAATGCACATTATCACGTATTGATTTTCATTCAAATATGTGGTAAATTCCACACGTGTATATAAATGAAGGAAGAAGTTGTGTGTGTGTGTGTGTGTGTGTGTGTGAGTAACTAGATATGATTATGAGTGGCAATAATTTGTGCTCGAAACGTGATCATCAGTTAATATTACTGTGTAACACTGTGTGACTTATCAAGATAAAATCGTATCCATAATACATTATGTTATACCTTCGAGTTCTACAGGAAGGTAATATTAGCAACCTTGGAATGAAGGATGTCACATATTACTAGATGATGCAAGATTGGTTAGCTCTCATTGACCCATCAGGGAATTCAATACAAATACATATGAGGAAGGTCTACTCCAGTTCAGACTGTCTATTTGTAACTTTTCTACTTTTATAATCCTACTAAGAAATGGCGCGCGTCGGTGGTATATCGGTTAGGGCGCTCACCGTCCATGCACATGGTCTGGGGTTCAATCCACGGCCGATGCACTCCTTTACCTCGCTGAGCCAGAAATAATGCTGGTAAAGAAGAAAGGTTGGGCATGAGGTTGGCTAGCAACCCTATCCTGTAAAGTAAACACTGCTACGGAAACTTCAAGCCTCTAGCTTGAGGCCCTATGTTCCACTGGGGAACGTGAGGGAAAACAAAGAAATGACGCGGTGGTCAGATAGCTACTAGGGTCTCTGTGCCCGTTCGTATATCACATTTGAAGTATAGGGATTTATTATTACTTCCTTTAATTCCTAGAGGAACTTAGGGCTTTAGCCGCGTCTCCATTGCGTTCGGTTCTATGCTAGAGTTTTCACGTGGCTCCAAGTCTGCCCACACGCTTTCATATCCTCTTCACATAACCTCCTCCAAGTCACCCTAGCTTCCCTTTCGGGTTCCACTCAAGTGATGGCTTGTCTAGTGATGTCAATTACTTGATTATTTCCTCAGATTATGGCCAATCCATTTCCATTTCTTCCTGCTTATTTGTTGCACAATCGGTTCCTGGTTGGTTTCCTCATTGCCAGAGATGCCTGTTGCTGATCTTTTCTGGCCGGCCACCTGATCTTGAGTGGTATTGAGCGAAGGCAGCTGTTGATGAAAGTCTGTAGTTTGTTTGAGGTGCTCTTTATGACGCGCCAAGTCTCTGATCCATATAGTAAGTAGCACTGACTTCACATTGAAGTTGAAAACCCGTATCTTATTTTCATTTTCATGCTGAGTGCTGTTGACGTCCACACAGGCTTGAGAGTAATGAAAACTTGCCCTACTTTCCCGATCCTCGCTGCTTTGATATCCTCATGAGTTCCGTCGTCCTGTAGTTGAAACGATGCTTCATACGTAGTTAGGTAAAGTAGGTTGTTTCTTTCAGGTTCCTCCCATTTATGCTGATTGTTGTCTGTTGTTGTTGTTGCTACTGATGTTGCCCAGGAATCTTTGTCATCTCTGTTTTTTGTATGTTCACCTGAAGTATAGGGATATTTGCGTTATTATTATTATTCGCTTGGGTTTTGAGTGGAACATAGGGCTTCAACAACACATCTCCACTATGTCCTACTTTCTGCCTTCCTGTTCAGCTGGGTCCACGATTGGCCATAAGCTCTTATCTCCTCCGCCTCTTCACACGATCTCCTCCATGTCACCCTAGATATTTGCGTTAGTCCTTGAAAAGTCTGTTGTATCAGCACTTAAGAAATTATGAACAGTTATCTACGTAGGTCAGTATAGTCTTAATCCCCTTAAAATATTATTAAAACGTATTTCTATTCTATACTCCTTTCGTTTCTTGTTCTGCTGCAAGTCAGTTCAGTGCATTTATTATCCTGTATTATTCAGAACTTTGCACAATAAATCGTTCTCAGTTTCACTTAGACATATGGTTTGTAGATAATGGATATTTGAGCAATAATTCTGACTACATTTTATCGTAGTTTCTTAACAACCAACATGGTTCACATCAATAATAAAATAAAAATAATTTACTTTATTCCAAAAATAGTACTTATAATACAGAATGGAATTCTCCGCATCCGTCACAATGTTGCATCTGATTTACTCAAAATATGAAAAATTAAAACAAAATTAACCAGAGGAATTTGTTCACATTTACGATATAAAGTCAAAAATATTCCAAGCACGAATTGACATTATTAAATATAATAATAATAACAGTGAGTTTGTTTCAAACAGTATTGTCGATTCAGTTTGGAAATTTTAGCATGTTATAGATTATTGAATCTAATGTTCTGTTGATGTAGTATAGTGAGGGGAAATACAAAATTAACGCTTATTAACACAGCTTAAATTATGTCCACATATACGAAAAATAAGTGAATAAAAACAAAACATTGAGAGGATTATAAATATAAGAAATACAATAACAATAAAGTCTGGTATTGTAAGGGTGGAAGAAATGGTTTATGGCATGACAGTTACTCAGTTACATAAATCAAAAGTACATACTAATAATCAATCATAGTAGGCGAAGGTTGAAATTGTCATGCATGTTATTTTGATTATTATTGTGAACCATG